GTAACGCGGTCCGAGTACACTATTCCGCCGATATTATGTACGTCAGGAAAGTCTTTAATGCAAAATTTCGCTTAAAAAGCATAACTTGTTACCAAACCAAAATAGCAACGGATATTAACGCTACAATTAACAGGGATATGCAATAAAGCCACTCTGATTTATCTACAAACCAAATATCGATCCTCAAAGCACGCTGTCTATTTATCACGGAGAAATCTGCTTCTTCAGCCTGGAGACTGTTTGTGGCATTTTGATGATGTCGGATATTTGTTCAAACCAAAGGCATTGAAACTATATCTGATCATTAAAAGCATCATTGTTAGTAATAGAAAATTAAGTGAAAACATTATCAAATATACTTGAACCAATGAGTCAGGTAATAAGTTCCATAAAACTGTCACATCTTTTTCAAAAAGCCAACGCGATAACACATGGTGACCTAGAATCTGACTTTGTCCACCTTTGATTGGAGTAGGCCAGTGAGGCGCCAAGATGAAATTGACTGCCGTTATTTTCAGTTGGCACGTGTTTTTTGACTCTTGATGAGTGTTACGATTTCCGTTTAGCAATCTGGTGGCAAATTCATATAAAATTCTCAGGAATTTGGGTAAGTGGATTATATTTTTGAATAAGGTACGTTCTATAGGCTCACCCACAGTTATGCAACTGGACTCCCAGTAGGCAAATGTACATAGGTTAAGTAAGTAGAGCGTATGACAGATAGGCAATTTTTGTCGGTTGAAAGGTAGACAAAAGGTTTCTAAAATAAAACAGGCTTCACACCTTCACAATGCTTACCCAATTTTTCTGTTTAAAAGGAGAATGTTTGTTTTGATTTCTCGATCTTGAATAACTTTGATGTCCTCATTCGCACCGCCGACTTTAGTCGAAACGATGCTGCCTGCGTATTTAGGTAGAGATGAATTCCTTCAGATATACCCTATTAACAGTGGGGATTAATGCTTGTCGTTGTAGGTTGTCGTGTATCTTAATAATCTGTATTATCTCTATGTTCACTTGAAGTCGTGTCTTTTCGGCTTCTTCTGACGATTTATTGACTTACTCATGTAGACCTTCGAGTTTGTGTGACAGTAATTATTAACGAAGTCAATAACTTGTAGAGTCTCCTTCCTGGTGTGTCGTATGCCCGTTCCCCCCTCCCCTTGAACTGTTGTACAATCGGCCACAATCAAGAAGACCATTGGTCATAATACGACAACCTTGTCTTATTCATTCCTTGCTTCATTCCAAAGTTTTTCCTGAGATTTCCGTTGCGAATCACTTTTCATGTGACATCATCGTATAGCTGTTGTGTGAGGTCGTCTATTTGGGTTTGGGGTACTCCGTTGTCTTATGGCAGTTTCCAAATTACTTCACACTATGTCCAATCACCAAATCACTGAAGGCTCAGAAATTCTCAAAGAATTATCCGTTCTCATTCATTTCGGCGAGTGCCTGTCGACCCATAATACATCCCTTTCCTGTATCATGTCATCTCAGTTCCGTTAACATTTCTACCACCCATTAGGATTTTGATGTCACTATCTGTTTGCAATAATGTGTAGGAATGTTCTTCTCTACTTGGTCTGCGTTGTTTATAAGAGCGTAAGATGGGGTAATTGTAAGTTTCCTACATTTTGACTTGAATCTTGGTGTTGTTATCCTAGAGGAGATTGATTCCCACTACATAAGAGCTTTCGATACTATTTATGACGTCACGATATCCACTCGCTCAGCGCAATTATGATCATCGTCTGATTGGTTATTGACTCTAGTCACTAACTTGAAGAGCCCACTTACGTTCTACCTACTCTCATAGATTCCCAGTACTTCTAAACCACATCTCATTAGCTATGCAACATGAGCTGCCTTCCAATCAACCATCGTGCGGACATTGTTTGTGCTCATGATTACTTTTCTTTTCGTCTACAGGAGACATCAGCTGATAGTCTTCCTTAAAGCTCTCACATCATCCCGTGTCATTTCGTCTTTCCGATTCCAGTGGGGAATAAGTTTATTTATTGATTTTAAGTTTCTATAGCATTTGGATTGCCTTCTCGCTAACCTCACTCCCAACGTGTCCCTTTTTGGGGATTAAAAACAGGCTGCTTTTATTATTATTTTTTGTGTAGTGCAACTCTTGGTATCCATATAATACCTAGTTTGTGCTTAAATAAATCAATAAATAAATAATTCATTTTATTTTTCCCGGATTACATTTAGTAATAACATCTACACCTATGGAACGCAGTTTTTTAAATGCTCTGCAGTTTTTAAAAGATGAGGAGGTATGTTACCTTTATCATAATTCAAGTGTATGAATTTAGAAAGAAGATGAATCGAACTGTGAAGATAGACAGGCAGATTTTATGTTAGCTGCATGTGTTGATGGCTTTAATGAAAATGCGACGGGGATTACATCTCTGGATTATTTCGTATATATATGGAATCTTTTCAATATGATGCCAATTGATAACGATGATCCAATTCCTGTTGAATCTGTTGAAGTAGAAAAAAAGCACTTATTTCAATGTTTTAGTCGATTAAAATGTTTTCATGTTTGGTTTACAGTAAGTTGATTGGTTATACGAAAAGAGAAATATGATTTTTAAAACTTGACTGACTATTGTTTAGTTTCGAAATTAGTAAAGAGTCTTTTCGTCATTCCTTTGCATTCGGAGTCAAATACAAGTCTTGAGGCTTTTGGCTTTGAAAAGTCAGTAGCGGCAGTGTTTTTAATTTTTGGGGGATGAGGTCTCTAACCTAACATTCAGCGATCAGGACCTATTAATGTTTGATAAACTTAAGGTCTAGGAGTGCATCGGAGGCCGGGAATCGAAGTTGAACTACATGTGTGTTTGGAAAGCATGCTACCGTAGGACCACCGATACAAATGAAAAATATGGAAAGTTTTACAAATTTGCTTTTCAGTCCTTGTGCAGAAGTCATGCTTATCTCCCGTTTATCGTCCTAACTTAAGTCTATATTACTGCCTCAGCGAATAAAAATGTGTAGGTATATGTGGTTTAGGTGAGCATGGAGTGTACGGTCAGTGAGTTTCTGTAATTATTTAAAAGAGTCGAATGTTACTCGCCATATATTTCATTTATTTTTGAAAGCTGCATTGTAGCGATTTCGTCAGAACCGAATACATCAGGTGGAGAATCACTGAGAACTACAGAGTACTGATGTGGGACTCTCCAACAGATTGTGAGACTGTCCCGCTGGACTATACAGTCGCTGGAGTTAAATTCTAACTTTTGCAATGATATCAGTGAGTATCAGTCTTTACAGCCAACTTGTTGGAGCATACCAGCAGTAGGGAATCAATTCACAGCTCACTAGTGGTTAACTGTGGGATGGGATTGTATAATTTTTTGCAGAAAGTCGTAAGCAGTGTGAGGGTCTACCGAAAATTAACTATGAGAACAGATAGTCATCGGTAGCATTTTATGGCGGTGACGCTATATATCACGAATCGACAGAAGGTAGAATTCATGAACGGTTGAATCATCACTGGACTTGTATCATAGCCTGAAGGTTCTCAGTGGCTCAGTCTCCAGTGGTAGGGCCATAGTTGTGCGCACCGATGAAAAGTCTAGTGGTGCGTGGTTTTCAGTGATTCTCTAACTGATGAAAATTTAAGAGAATTATTGTTTGGAATAAAGGTATAATAATAATAATTTTCTACATATGTTTATGTGACTAACAAGATTTCTCCTTCCTCCAACGCGCCTCATTTTTATTTTCTGCCTTCTCTTGTAGAAAAATCCTCCTAATATTCACGGAAGTGATGTCAAGTCATTGATATTCTTCTTTGAAGAATTCCTTAAATATACATTTCTTACTAAAACGAGTCTAGAACCACATTATATGGAGTCGGTATCATGTTTAATATTACTATCATGGTGGAATATTGGATTTCGTTCTTGTTCAACACTTTATCGTATCATTGATTATGAATTATTCGGTTTATGGTTCAGATTAATCCCTCAAATTGTTGATGTATCATTTTGGATTATTAATCACTTGTCTCCCTATCCAGAACATTCACATCTATTCATAATTAATTTGTTACGTATTTATGCGGATTGTTATCATCATATAAAAGGTCGACTTGAGAAGAATGAGGACTCCGACACCACTTCTACTTCTTCTTCTCATTCTTTGTCGTCGTCTTCGTGTACTTCTTCTTCTCCTTCTGCTGCTGCTGCTGCTGTCGGTTCTCGAATGACTGGTATTGATATACCTCGAGTTCTTCATGGTTTAACTGATATTTATCGTGAATCAGTTGGAGAATTAATAGAAAGGAATAAAGCAGAGAGGGGGGAAGACCGTACATATTTAGGTGATCTAAATGATGGTGATGATGATGATGGTTCCAGCACTGCTATTAATAGTATGAAAACTGTTTGTTCAGCAATTGTTGAGATATTAAAGAATTTAGTACGGTAAGTGGAATTTTTTTATTGGCTCTTATTTCCTTTGTTGGTTTCTAACAAAGACATTTTGTTTTATGCTGGATACTGGGGTGTTTACATGGTTATAAGATGAAGTAGCCTGGGATTCTAGAGAGGAGTAATGACCATCGAGGTCCATTACAGACACTTACGGACGACATCATTGGCTTGCGATGGGCGTTTTATGTATGACGAATTGGCTGACCATTGGATTCCGTCTCTGTGAGCGAATGATTGATTGTCTTTCCTAGCCTTGTAACTTGAAAGTTTTGTGTCATGAGTGCGTACTGCTGAGTAGCCTCAAACTAGGAGAACAAGGCAGCTGTCTCGCACTCCATGGTTTTCGGTGGTTCTCTGACTAATGTCATTTTGTGATCTAAGTTGAAGTTGGCAGGAAACCCTGGATCTAGGCTTTGTGCTTGTTGGCATTCGTCAGTCAACAAAGCTAATCTAGTGAACTGATGTGTTAACTCAGGGACTCGAAGCTGCAGTAGCTAGTGCTGCAGTTAGGGATGTTTTCAGTTGGCTGATGAGTGTCAGTGTAGTGTTTATGAGTTAATCAAACATTCACCGATCAAGTGAGAATACTGAGGGCCCGCAATAAAGGCTTTATTCGTTTTATAATTCCAGTATAGGATCTGGTTTAAACAAAAATGAAAGATGTGAATAGTGTATAATATAAATGCTAAACGTTTATGAAAATGTTCACACCACATTCTTCTCCCCTTTTGTTTGAGAATACAGAGCATAAGGAGTCAAGACTTTTAAAACTGTTTAGACTTCGCGGCTTCTCAGATTGTATGGACGAACCCTTCGTTGTTTCTCTAGTAAAGAAGATGGGTTCGGATCAATTTTGATATTTTCACTTAAATTGTCCGTCAAAATAGGAGTTTCAGTATCTGTAGAACGGGTCGATATGTCGTCTTCAGTAAGTTGATTTTGGAGGCATTCTGGTACTGCGTCTGGAATCGGCATGCTAACGGGCGATTGAAATATATGTTCTTTTGGTGCAAGATGATGAATAGATACTGTTTCCTCACGTCCATCTGGAAGTCTCACATGAGCATACTTGGGATTACATTCAATCAGTTCAACTTCATCAACTGGAGATTCATATTTAGAACGTACATTACGGCGCATCAAGACCGGTCCAGGAATAGTTAACCAACTGGGAAGAGAAACACCAGACGTTGATTTTCGATTGTACCTGAACATCCGTTCGTGTGGAGTAGTATTTGTGGCAGTACATAAAAGAGAACGGATAGAATGAAGAGCGTCGGGGAGAACAACTTCCCACTCACAGATTGGTATGGACCTAGATTTAGCAGCTAGTGATATACATCGCCAGAGAGTGCCGTTGAGACGTTCAATCTGTCCATTTGATTGGGGGTTGTATGCTGTTGTTCTACTGGTAACTATTCCTTTATCGTGGAGAAAATGTTTTAATTCTGCAGACATAAACGACGATCCTCTGTCTGAATGTATGTAGGATGGCATACCAAACAGGGAAAACAACTGGCACAGGCAATTAATAACAGTTGATGCTGTCATATCCTGGCAAGGAAAAGCGAACGGAAATCTAGAGTACTCATCAATTATCGTAAGAAGATATTTGTTCCGGGAGTTTGAAGGAAGAGGTCCTTTGAAATCAATATTTAGACGTTCAAAAGGAGAAGTCGCTTTAATAAGATTTCCTGTGGATACTTTGCAAAACCTGGGTTTCAGCTCAGCACAAACTGCACAACTAGATATCGTCCTCTTCACATCATCAACAGAAAAAGGTAGGTTCTTAGAACGCACAAAGTGAAGAAGGCGAACAACTCCTGGATGGCACAGAGAGTTATGTAGGTCTTTCAGATTAGTTTCACCCATGACAGAAGCAGAATATCCGCGAGATAATGCATCGGCGACTTTGTTTTCTTTGCCACAACGGTAGATTATATCAAAACTGTAACAAGAAAGTTCTATTCGCCAACGCTGAATCTTGTCATTCTTTATTTTCCCATGGTGGTTCATATCGTACATGAAAGAAACTGATCGTTGGTCTGTAATGAGTTGGAAATGAGTACCAAGTAAATAATGACGCCATTTTCTAATAGCTTCGACGATGGCATAAGCTTCTTTCTCCACCGCTGAGTGATGCCGTTCACTTGGTGATAGTGTTCTGGAAAAAAATGCAACGGGTCTACCATTTTGTGTTAACGTAGCAGCTATAGCAGTATCCGAAGCGTCGGTTTCCACTATAAGGGGCAAGTCGAGATCCACAGTAGTCATCACAGATTGAGCAAGTTCATTTTTTAATGCTGCATATGAGCTTACAATAGTACCTGGTAATGGAAAGATTTTATTTTGTATAAGGGGTTGAATTTTATCGGAGAAATGAGATATCCATTGTGAATAATACGCAAAGAGACCAATGACTCGCTGTTGGGATTTAAGATCTCGTGGAGGTGATAAATTCCATAATGCTTGAAGTCTATCGGGATCAGGTTTGATCATTTTATGAGAAACTTCATAGCCTAGAAGTTTTACTTGTTTAACGCCAATAACACTTTTATTCTCATTGAATGTTAGCCCATATTTTCTGGATGCTTCATAGAACCGGGCAAGATTTTTTGCATGTTGTTCTGTGTTTTCACCACAAATAGTTATATTATCTAAATAAGCAAATGTAGCTTGAAGATTTTCATTTCTGATAATCTGACTGATAACTCTCTGAAAACACGAAACACCGTTTGTGACACCAAAGGGAATACGACGGAACTGATAGAGGTTGCCGCAAGCTTCAAAAGCTGTGAACAGTTTCTCTTCTTCTTTGATGGGTATTTGATGGTAAGCACTCTTTAAATCCAAAGTGCTAAATACAGTATATTTTGAAATCTTTTCAATCATCTCATCAATTTTTGGGAGTGGATAGGCATCCAATAATGTGAAACGATTTATCGTTTGGCTGTAATCAATCACCATTCTACGCTTGTGGCGTTCATTAGTAGTGACCAAAACTTGGGCGCGCCAAGGGGAGTTTGATGGTTCGATGATCTGCTCACTGAGTAAATTTTTGATTTCCAGCTTGATGAAATGTTCATCTGAAGTGGAATGTCTTCGTGATTTTGTAGCGATCGGAACACATTTGGGTGTTAGGTTATGAAACAAGGGAGGTGGATCAATATGTGCAGCAACAAGATTACACAGTGAAAATGGATTGTTTTTACCTTCAAATGGAATTTCGAGTTTATTATGCAAGCGTAAAAAATCATGACCTAATAGCACATCAGCACACAGATTTGGCAACACTGAAAGTTTGATATGTGAGTAACTCGAGTCTTTATAACGTAGATTTACATAACAGTGACCATGAGTATGAGTTGTCAGACTTGTGGAAGCCATTGTAATTGAAGTGCGAGAATGCTCTACCTTTATATGTTGTTTTTGAACGACTGCACAAGAAATATAACTGTCTGAGCTCCCAGTATCTACGAGGGCTTGTAGGGGAATGTCATTTACAAAAAGCTGCACAACCGCATTGGAGAGAGACTGTGGAGCGGCGGCTAGAGTCATGGAAGACAACAAAGAACTAGTAACTGATGTAGTTTTGGTGTACGATTTTGACCGGCAGACCTTCTGATAATGCCCCTTCTTACCACAGAGTTTGCATACTGCATCCCTTGCAGGACATTTAGAGCGAGGATGTCTAGTAAATCCACAGAAGTAGCATTTCTCATTTATTGAAGCAGTCAATCCTGTTTCACCCACATAAGAGTTTAGTTCATTTGATGTATCACTGTTTGATATTGCAGCAGAATTGGAGAATTCGGAAGGATGAAACGAATGTGATTGTTGATAAGCCATTTCTAGGGATCGAGCTTGTTCATAAGCAGTATCAAGATCAAGTAATTTGTTTTCCAGAAGACGTTGTCGTATATTATTAGATTGCATTCCACTTATGAATGCGTCACGTATTGCATCATTCTGATTTTGTTCAGCCGAGACAGGTTTGAATGAACAATCTTTTGCCAGAGATTTCAGTTTTTGTAAAAATTGGTCGAGGCTCTGTCCAGTTTCTTGTTTGCATGTGGATAATAGATGTCGAGCAAAAATCTCGTTCTTTGGTTTGACATACAGTTTCTCAAGAGTACTAAGAGCGCCGTCAAATGTTTTACATTCAGCAATGTATTCATATACAGTAGGTGAGATATAGTTGATGAGAACATCAAGTTTGTCTGAATCTGGAGTTGAAGATTTAGTGATAAAAGTATTGAATGTACGAAACCAATGATTCCAAATCTTCGAAGATGTTTGGCAATTGGAATCAGCATCAAAGCGTTCGGGACGTAATATCTTGTCCATAATAAAACGAATAAATTGTAGTGTTTATGAGTTAATCAAACATTCACCGATCAAGTGAGAATACTGAGGGCCCGCAATAAAGGCTTTATTCGTTTTATAATTCCAGTATAGGATCTGGTTTAAACAAAAATGAAAGATGTGAATAGTGTATAATATAAATGCTAAACGTTTATGAAAATGTTCACACCACAGTCAGTAAGCACGAAGCGTAGAACTTCCTGCTGATTACCTCCAACCATTTAATTAGCAGTAATGTGGAAGTGTACCTCGATAGTGAATCTTCTGTTTCGGTGTGACTTTATTGTTCTCAACAAATATGCCAAAGGGAACAGAAATGGAGACCGTTGAATGACATTGTGCTCCAGATCCCGGAGTGGAACCGGAATGGAAAATGCGGCTTGGGCATCCGATGGTGACATGGAGATTGTGTGAGGATGAGGTGAGAGCTTATGGACAATCGTGGAATCGGTTAAAAGAACCACAGAGAAGAGGAAAAAGTAGAGGTGTGCTGTTAAAGCCCCATGTTCCATCCTCAACCCAAGGAAATAATGATATTAACATTGAAGACATGACTATGATAGTATTCAGTGAGTCACTATTATGAAGAACTAAACACTCGGCACTGATTACACCTCGGTGACCCACTCAGTGACATAGGTTTTGATAATCTCAGAAACTCCTACCCTCACTGTTCAGAGTGATACTCCTTTCAATATCTGATAAAATTGTAAAAATAATATTGGTGGTAATGATGTCTAGCTGTCTTTGAATGTAGACGTTCGCGTTCTGTTTAGTATAATGGTAGTGGTGCGTAATATTGAGGTTATGTGTAGAGAGTTAGGTGATAAGGGCTAGTCGGTGGGAAAGGTTATGAGGCTGCATTGACTATGATGACTGTGATAGGTGTTATGCATACTGAGTTATCGCCTTCTTCGATAAACAAGATAAAACTGGATTGTAAAAGAGTTAACGGTGGTTAAATCAGAACATTCTAATATTCCATGATGTTGCGTACACCAAGATAAGATATAAACTAATGAAATCTTTGACTATTCGTTTGAATCGGTCACATAGGGAGAGGTGTAGGAGGCTTCCTGGTTGACTTGAGAGTGTTGGTGATATGGCTCGGAATTGTTGCTAGTGGCGCAGATTCATTCACCCGTGGTAATCTCCCAGACCTTTTAAAGCCTCATGATTCTTCGTGTACTTATTCTCTCTCCCATACATTTTTGTTCATTATAAGTCTTCGGAATTGTTTTGTCAACCACTGTGTGCTATATGATATGCAGTGAATTGTTCTGTTGTACTTCTGTGCAAAGTTTTATGTTGAAAAATAAGTCACTGAGTATCTGGGATGGAATATAGAATAATCACATTTGCGAATATATTTTGGAGACAAAATAGTATTTGGTAGATGTCATTGTAGTAGTACCGTAGGAGTGAGTGATTAAGTGGTAGACTTTCAACCAGTGAACTGTAGAATAAGAGTTGTGCTTTGCTCTATATAACGTAACAAAAGAGTCCTGGATGGCTTAGAACAGTTTGTGGACAAAGTTTGTCTCAGAGTGAGTTGGTTGGTTTTAATGCCATCCTACTTCCAGCCTCTAAAATGTTTCTTTCCTATATGGTAGTAGTGTGGAAGCGCTTTGATAGTTATCTATTATTGATATTATATTCGTTATTTACATTACTACTTCCTTTATTTTTCTTCTGGGTCTCAATACATTATTGATTAGTGTTATTCATTAGTAATATTTTCTTTATCGACGAAATCATCTTCAGAGGCTGTACAATCGTATTTATACTTACAAAAATATATAGTGGTCTATTATTGAGTAATAGGGGGTGACATAATTGATATAATTACTCAGAAGTGGCTTTAGAAGTGAAAATTAGAAGTTGAAAATTACGTGGTACTCAACGGCAAAAAGATAGAAATTTGATAAGGTTAAAATTGCTATTAAGTGAGAATAAAGGTATTTGAGTGTCAATTTAACAAGTGTGAAGAGGGTGTGAAAATATACAAAAGGAGCATATGAGAGTGATAATAGCGAATTAATTATTGAAGCAAAAGCTAACTAAAAGTGAAAGTAGAATGAAAAGAAAAAATCAAAAAATATTTCATTTACAAGGAACGATTAGTGAAGAGGTTAAGACCAAGGTAGAATAAGAGACTGGACAAACTTTTTCTGTATACAGAGTTCAGGGTTGTATTGATGAATTGCTAGAGCCTCCGCCATACACAAAAGCCGGAACCTGATGCCCTTTGTACCATTTGGCTTCACTTTGTAGATGATCTTGAAAGAGGATTCTGGTGGAGCTACGTGGCCTGAGTTCACCAAATGCTCGAGAATTGAGCTAGTAATTGTCTTACATTGTCCCTTTGCTAACCATGCCGGATAATGCTCAGAGATGCGTTTGGAAAGCGTGCGCTTTGTGCGGCCAATATAACTAGCTCCACACGAGCAAGTGAATTTATAAACACACATTGAGGTGGCCCAAAGCGGCAGTTTATCCTTCACACACCCGTTGATCATTTGTCGGCTATAGAAGTTGATACGTAGCTCAGCCATAAAGAAGGCTTTCCTCAGTGATCTGCATAAGCGATTCTTCAGGATCTCAGCTGCGGTATCACCTTTAAATTCAACACTCATAAACAGTAGTTTCTTCGATACCGTCTGTATTCTTTCAGGTTTTTCCCTAGGCTTCATGTTCTTCTCGATAAATCTCGGAGGATATCCATTCTCTATGAGGACTTGTCTGAGTCGCTCCAGTTCCCCATCGATTGTATCACTGGAACATATCCTCCTTATTCTTGAGGATAAGGAATGGATTAGATTTCTCTTCCTTCTCAAAGGGACCCAGCTATGGAAATTTGTGTACTGACCATTCCATGTTGGTTTCCTGTAGATCGATCTTTGAAGAGAACCATCCGATCTCCTCTTTAGAAAAACATCCAGAAAATGGAATTCCGAGTTGTTCTCTGATTCCGACGTGAACTTGATGGCATGATGGCAGCTGTTGAACTCTTTGGTTATCAATTCGATGTCGGTATTGTCGTCACATATGATGAAAGTATCATCCATGTATCTTTGGTACAGATGGAAGCTGTCGATAGTAGGCCGTAAAATATTATTCTCCAAACTGCCCAAGAAGCAGTCTGCAAGTAAAGGACCCAATGGTGACCCCATTGCAACTCCATCTCTTTGTCTATAAATTGTATTGTTGAACTTGAACTGAACGTTTAGGGTGCACCTCAATAGTAGTTCCTTTAAGTAGTGGATCGGAACACATACGTCTACGTTATTATCCTCAATGAATTTGCATATAAAGCAGATAGTTTCAGTGAGGGGAACGTTGGTGAAAAGCGAAGTGACATCCATGGATATCATTTTCTTCCCAGATACATTAGCATCATTTATTGAGTCGACGAATTCAAACGAATCAGAAACACTATGCTTGCAGAGGTTGTTTCTGATAGGTAGGAGGATATCTGCGAGCCATTTGGCAGTAGCATGATATGGAGAGTTTATCATGTCCAAGATTGGACGTAGTGGCACGTTCTCTTTGTGCACTTTCGGCAGACCATATAAACGGGGAATCACGGAACCGGAGGGTCGTATTTGCTCGAACAATTCAGAGCTGATAATCGACTCGTTCTTCATCTTCTTTAGCATTTGTGTCAGCTTGTCTTCAATTTGTTCCGTTTGGTCTTTCTGGCTACTTTCTTTTGAAAATTTGTTTTCATCTGACAAGACTGATAACATTTTATCGATGTAGTCTTGGCGATCCATCAGGACTACATCGATTCAGTTTCAAGAAGACGCTGTGAAGATGTGAACCTGAAACTCGCGAATAGCCTCAAAGCCGCTGACACTTACTCACGTTTTCCTGCCAAACCAGAAAAATACGTTTTCAACTACTCTAGTATATCATTGACTCCTGTCCAATTGCAAGCCTTGTCGTTGGGTCCAAAATTCTGTGACATTTCGACAAATTCGAGTGACTTGGATATTAAAGTCCAGTTTGAAGCACTGATCCAACAGACAAATGACCTTCCTGCAGTGTCCAATAAATCATATGAACAATTCAAGTCTACAGTATTAAACAGCTGCCATCAGTACATCAACACGAAACCAAATGTCAAAAGATTGATATCAGCCGAGCACAGAAAACAACTACGTGAGATTCTAAAGAACAAAAACTTGGTTCTGACACGCCCTGACAAAGGTGCTGGCATTGTCCTGATGGATCGCCAAGACTACATCGATAAAATGTTATCAGTCTTGTCAGATGAAAACAAATTTTCAAAAGAAAGTAGCCAGAAAGACCAAACGGAACAAATTGAAGACAAGCTGACACAAATGCTAAAGAAGATGAAGAACGAGTCGATTATCAGCTCTGAATTGTTCGAGCAAATACGACCCTCCGGTTCCGTGATTCCCCGTTTATATGGTCTGCCGAAAGTGCACAAAGAGAACGTGCCACTACGTCCAATCTTGGACATGATAAACTCTCCATATCATGCTACTGCCAAATGGCTCGCAGATATCCTCCTACCTATCAGAAACAACCTCTGCAAGCATAGTGTTTCTGATTCGTTTGAATTCGTCGACTCAATAAATGATGCTAATGTATCTGGGAAGAAAATGATATCCATGGATGTCACTTCGCTTTTCACCAACGTTCCCCTCACTGAAACTATCTGCTTTATATGCAAATTCATTGAGGATAATAACGTAGACGTATGTGTTCCGATCCACTACTTAAAGGAACTACTATTGAGGTGCACCCTAAACGTTCAGTTCAAGTTCAACAATACAATTTATAGACAAAGAGATGGAGTTGCAATGGGGTCACCATTGGGTCCTTTACTTGCAGACTGCTTCTTGGGCAGTTTGGAGAATAATATTTTACGGCCTACTATCGACAGCTTCCATCTGTACCAAAGATACATGGATGATACTTTCATCATATGTGACGACAATACCGACATCGAATTGATAACCAAAGAGTTCAACAGCTGCCATCATGCCATCAAGTTCACGTCGGAATCAGAGAACAACTCGGAATTCCATTTTCTGGATGTTTTTCTAAAGAGGAGATCGGATGGTTCTCTTCAAAGATCGATCTACAGGAAACCAACATGGAATGGTCAGTACACAAATTTCCATAGCTGGGTCCCTTTGAGAAGGAAGAGAAATCTAATCCATTCCTTATCCTCAAGAATAAGGAGGATATGTTCCAGTGATACAATCGATGGGGAACTGGAGCGACTCAGACAAGTCCTCATAGAGAATGGATATCCTCCGAGATTTATCGAGAAGAACATGAAGCCAAGGGAAAAACCTGAAAGAATACAGACGGTATCGAAGAAACTACTGTTTATGAGTGTTGAATTTAAAGGTGATACCGCAGCTGAGATCCTGAAGAATCGCTTATGCAGATCACTGAGGAAAGCCTTCTTTATGGCTGAGCTACGTATCAACTTCTATAGCCGACAAATGATCAACGGGTGTGTGAAGGATAAACTGCCGCTTTGGGCCACCTCAATGTGTGTTTATAAATTCACTTGCTCGTGTGGAGCTAGTTATATTGGCCGCACAAAGCGCACGCTTTCCAAACGCATCTCTGAGCATTATCCGGCATGGTTAGCAAAGGGACAATGTAAGACAATTACTAGCTCAATTCTCGAGCATTTGGTGAACTCAGGCCACGTAGCTCCACCAGAATCCTCTTTCAAGATCATCTACAAAGTGAAGCCAAATGGTACAAAGGGCGTCAGGTTCCGGCTTTTGTGTATGGCGGAGGCTCTAGCAATTCATCAATACAACCCTGAACTCTGTATACAGAAAAAGTTTGTCCAGTCTCTTATTCTACCTTGGTCTTAACCTCTTCACTAATCGTTCCTTGTAAATGAAATATTTTTTGATTTTTTCTTTTCATTCTACTTTCACTTTTAGTTAGCTTTTGCTTCAATAATTAATTCGCTATTATCACTCTCATATGCTCCTTTTGTATATTTTCACACCCTCTTCACACTTGTTAAATTGACACTCAAATACCTTTATTCTCACTTAATAGCAATTTTAACCTTATCAAATTTCTATCTTTTTGCCGTTGAGTACCACGTAATTTTCAACTTCTAATTTTCACTTCTAAAGCCACTTCTGAGTAATTATATCAATTATGTCACCCCCTATTACTCAATAATAGACCACTATATATTTTTGTAAGTATAAATACGATTGTACAGCCTCTGAAGATGATTTCGTCGATAAAGAAAATTTTCTTCGCTGAATCCGTCTTTTATTTTCTTCATGACTCAATGGGTATTTTAGTAATATTTTCCTTATTTGTTCGATTACATTACTTGCATTTACTGATACACTCACTAGTTGAACTCCTGGCTCAATTGCATTGACCGAAATTCAGCATAACCCTACCTGTACGGAATTTAGGTAGGATTAAATAACAGTCTAAGTACTTGGCTGGATTCAACATAGAACTTGGCACCGAAGTGCAGCAGTTCGAGTTGCCACGTTCCAAAGAGCACACAAACTTAGACAAGAAAATGAGTGAAGAGAATCAATAGAGTTTTGACAAGTATAAGAGTGGAACAGAATGAGTAATGGTAGAAAGGAATATGAAAGATTACAGAGACTGAATACATCTGCGTAAGCCATTGACAACGATTTTGAGCCATGTCACCTATTGTCTCCAGCCATTGATTCTTAGAGTCCCGAGGGCGGGCCCCAACCCGGAAGTCTGCATCTCCCTACCCGACTCAGTTTAACTGTCAGGGATTTCATGGATTGATGAGGCCATGTTTTTGTTCGGCCACCACTTACTCTTTTCCAACCTGCACCTATATCAGCTAGTAATGCCCGTCGGGACGGGGAGGCGATGGTTAGGCATGCGCAGCACGTGACCTAGCCATCTCAATCTATGTAACTTCATAGCCTCTTCGAGTGATTTTCCCTCTTTGCCCAACACTCTACGCCTAACGTCAACATTACTTACCTTATTATACCACCTAACGCGAGAAAGAGATCGTAGACATCTATGGTCAAAAACAGTCAACCTTTTCATGTTTTCAACTCGTATTGGCCATGTTTCAGAGCCATAGAGAAGGACGGAGCGAACAGCGGAGCAGTACAGACGTCGCTTGGTTGATAGCCGGATGTCACGCCTACGCCAGAGACGGTGTAAGTTAGCGAAAGCAGCTCGAGATTTTCGGATCCGTGCTGAGGTTTCGTCACCAATCAATCCATTGGTGCTGATACAACTTCCCAAATAGGTGAAGTGGTCAACATGTTCTATCACTTCACTCCCTATCACTAAGCTTGGGGTAGACGTAGTCCAGTCCTGTAGCAGTACTTATTGGAATGTGGTGATTAATTTTTAGAAATGTTAGTTTTACAACCTCATAGTTAGTTCACCTTGTTCACCAATTAGCTTGAAGGTGAACTGGATCGCATCTGCTATTGAGTCTGTGTGTGATGCAACACCTAAGCGGAAAATTGCAACAAAACAGGCGGTATTCAATAAGGTTATATGAAGCAAGTTAGCTGACAAGTTTGTTTGAAGTAGATTGATATGACTTTAAGCAACGTTAAATTGTACCCGAAATATCACTCAGTTTTTAATACGGTATCATCATTCTGTATGTATGTGTGTGTGTGTGTGGCCAAATTCTACTCTTAAACCCTTTTGTTTTTTTCTTGTTTTCTGGCTTTATAGTTCTGGAAGAGCTTATTGTTTGGAACAAACACCTGATTTTTCGTTTATTTCATTCACTGACCAACGGATAAGTGAACGTTTGTATCTTGTTCGTGACTATCTGCTGGTACGATCTCATAGAGTTATAGCCAGTCAGATGGAAGCAACTGCTGGAAGTGTTTTACCTCGTCTACCAAAAATGTTAAACTGTTTAGTGAATCTTACATCAGCAAAACAAAAACTTCGTGAATTATTGGGTTGTAATAATAATAATAATAATAGTAGCGGGAAGAGGAGAAGTGGTCGTTCGAGATCAAATCGTAAACCTTGGAGTTTATCATCATCACCATCACTATTAACCAATCATTACAGATACATTACATGGTGTCTTAGAAATAATCTCTGTGTTAAAAGTAAGAAATTGTAATAGGTTCTATGAGATTTTATTTATTAATGTATTTATTTATTTTTACTTTAATTCCCTGTGGAATGTACGGCTTGAAACTTTTTGGGGACAGTTGTGATTTTTGGTTCACGATGGATGCCAGGCTTGAGTCGTATGTTCTCCTGCGAACATGGTCATTTTCGTATTACCGTGCTCAACTCATCACTTCCTGTCTGGGTTCCACTTGACTACTTTCCTGGTGGTATATGATGCTACTTGAGTGTGTATCTCCTCAGCGTATGTTCTGTTCATCTTTCTTCACTTTCTTCTACGTATTTCTGAGAACGAAATTCTGAGACCTTGGCGAACTTGTATCGTATGTCAGGCGTAGCCCCCCTTACTCTGTAGTTTTCCCACACCCTGGTTGAATATTGACAGACTGATATGGAAGTTTTCCACTGACGTAAATCAATTCAGTTTGATAAATTCCATGTAAGATAAAATAATATTGTTGATGTGCACTAGTACAGCGATTGACATAAAGTATCTGGAACTGAGAGTAAAATATAAGAAAGACAACTAGTAAAGAGCTTGTTTATCGTAATGTATCCACTTATGATTTGATGTTCATGGGCTGTTGTGTCTCACTCAACTTTTCACTTCATCTTCAATCATTGCAGTGTGCCATCGAGGGAGAGGTTCATGCAACAGGCGAAATGATTCACAGTGGAAAGTTCTGTGGGATGAAGACGATGATATTAGTCATTGAAGTGGAGGACTTGGTAATGTGGCAGACAGTAGGGAGTGAGATGGGAATACGTTTAACTGGCGGGAACTCCAAGAAGGTGTAAACTTCGTGGGTGATTTATGCCTGATGTTGCGGAAACACAAAGATCTACAGGCGAAAGGCAAGTAGTTGGTCGAAGACGCAATGAAAGCCAGGAGTTCAGGCAAACATCGAGGGGACAGGTGGTTAAGATACCTAAACAGAAACAGCATTAATAACAAGAAGCACCAATTACCATCAGTGGAGCAAATCTCAGGGAAGTCGTCTCTTAACCTACTTGAGCAATATGGTTCCATTTACAGTGGGCAGCACGGACGAGGTTGTCAACGCTAGTGAAGATCAGGAAAGGAAGATAAACTTGAATTATACTCTGAACTATGTGTAACGGTCTGTGACACTTACTCAGTGATAGGACCCAGCATAAAATTGTATTATCGTCCTTTCTCACGAATCGTGTGATTTATCATGTGATGGAGTTACTATGTTAATGTATCATTCCTCACACATACTGTGATATAGTGTGTGACCAATTCATCTTCTTCTGTCTCACCTTGATCTTTGTCTGATCGCCAACCTATGAGAAATAGACTTTTACAGCGAATAAGATCAATACATTCCCACGGTTGTGAGCCGACTTTATTATGGTTAAGAAAATGTATCAGTATCATGTGTTGTTTCTGCTGCTGCTGCTGCTGGATTCAACATGGAACTTGGCACCGAAATGCAGAAGTTCCAGTTGCCACGTTCCAAATAGCACACAAAGGTAGACAGGAAAATGAGAGAAGAGAATCAATAGAATTTAGATAAGTATAAGAATGAAACAGAATGAGTAATGGTAGAAAGGAATATGAAGGTTAAAGAGACTGAATACATCTGCGCCATTGACAATGATTTTTGAGCCATGTCACCTATTGTCTCCAGCCATTGATTCTTAGAGTCCCGAGGGCCCCAACCCGGAAGTCTGCATCTCCCTCCCTACCTGACTCAGTTTAACTGTCAGGGATTTCATGGATTGATGAGGCCATGTTTTTGTTTGGCCACCACTTACTCTTTTCCAACCTGCACCTATATCAGTTAGTAATGCCCGTCGGGACGGGGAGGCGATGGTTAGGCATGCGCAGCACGTGGCCTAACCATCTCAATCTATGTAACTTCATAGCCTCTTCGAGTGATTTTCCCCCTTTGTTTCTTAAACTATATAGTGCAGTATAATACAATATCCTTGCAGTCACAGGCCAGTCTTTGTTTTGTGATATTTGCGTGGCTCAGTGAATCGGAAAGCACAATGGACAAATAGACGTATTAGTGTACTAGTTGAGTTCATTACCGTTATAGTAATTAACAGGCGCAGGTATAACAAAGTAGCAACGGAATTTATTCAGTTCAGTTGAGTTCAGAGTTATCACAAATCAGCAGTGGAGTTATAACACTCAGCAGAGAGAGAAAACATAGTCCGGATTATTAAAAAGGTATGTCAAGTCAATGCTTCCATATGATTCAGAAACTTGGCGCGCGTGAGCATTGCGTCATTGGAATCATTTTCGACAGGCTACTGCAGATGTCGACTATCAGCTTCTTTGTTTCGATACTGAGATTCAGGTGACTGGCGGACTAGAAACAATAAGCAACGACTGATTTTCTAAGATAAAGAATCAGCTGACAACCTATTGCTCAACTAAGAAATATGGGAATGGAGATGGGTAGATCGGGCATACTCTGATAAGGCGTTCAACTAGTATCCAACATCAGACATACTGTTGAGTGGAATCCAAATGGGAAGCGACGAGCTGGACGTTGATCAGTGAGTGACGCATATGAGCGGAAAATAAAAGTTTGTGGACAGCTGTGGAGATAGTTAAGATTGATGGAAGAAAACCGAATGGAATAGAGATGTTCCGTTATGTCCTTATGTTCCGTTCGGAAGTAGTACAAAAGTGCGGCAGTCCCAGTTGCCACACACGCCATGTAATGCACATAGGTAGACAAATAAAAGAAAGATTCAAAAGAACATGGTGGTTTAGTGGATATGGAAGATCACAAGGAGTGACTGTATTTGCGCGCTATTTTTAAACGATTTTGAGCCATATCACCAATAGTCTCGAATCACCTGTTTTTAGCATCTCGAGGACTATGTGCCTTTCCACGTGGTTCATGGACTGATGCCATCCAGGTTTTGGTTTGAACACCTCTAAGTGTTTTCCAACATGATTGTGTCGACTAATATTGCTCGTTGAGGATGGCAGAGAGTTGACATGCACGACACCTGTCTTAGCCCCATCTCAATCGATGCAGCGGCACAGCCTCATCGATTGACTCTCAGTCGTCATACTTATCATATGAGTATTGATTATACGATTGATATGTCCAGCCAAGCTGAAGCAAGTGGGAAGGCGTTGCAACCTGTTGTCTGTTTAGATGAAAGACATGTGCTTATGCCAGTAATCAACACCACAGTAAGCTGATATTTGATGTCTTAGTGTAAGGGTAGATGACAAGAGACTTGGTCGGTGAAGGAATGTTTATTTGGAATTTGGTCTCTCTACATAGCGAAATTATGCACAATTTATCTTCAAATCACCATTTGCACAGATCTTCTGTGTTGTGCTACTTTTGTCTTTCATATTGTGTGTCTTCGTGTTCCATTCATGTCTCCCATATTTCTCCACAACGCTGAGTCATATGTTTCTCTGACATGGAATGTGTCTCCCTGATATTTGATGTTTTTTATACCGCTGAACACCTCGTTATATGTACACTACTGATAAATCTAATCAGTGGTACACGCCACATTAGTATATGTGTACTCTATTTATCTATGCATTTGTTGTTTTTGTCTGCAATCTTTCCATTATTTTAGGGTATGCTTTCTGGTACGTTGCAACTGTGGATATAACGGAAACTGAAGCACCGCAACTGTAAGTTGTTTATAAAAGAATAATAATGATAATAATATAAAAAAACAGCAAAATTCACAAATACGATTCTCAGATTGAATGCTACTGATTTTGTTGCTGTGTTCCCTTAGTAGAATAATTAAAATGAAATTCTAGGCAAAACATTACCAGAATGAATCTTTACCAGGTATTGGTTTGCAAGGATTTGACTGGTTTCAAGTTAGATCGTGGATTGACATGAGTTAGGGAAGCATTAAAAACCAGCAGGGAGTATTGAACGGTTGTTTCGTACTCCCAGTCTAAGACTTTTCAGCAGTACTCATCTACGACCTCAGAGAAGATCAAGTTATGAAACGAGTCGGTTAACCGTTCAGACAGGGGGACACGACCCAGTGGACAATGAATCCCAATGTCTGCTAACACGTGATATCTGTTTGTCTGTCTGGATTCAACATAGAACTTGGCACTGAAGTGCAGTAGTTCGAGTTGCCACGTTCCAAATAGCACACAAAGGTAGACAAGAAAATGAGTTAAGGGAATCAATAGAATTTAGTTAAGTATAAGAGTGAAACAGAATGAGTAATGGTAGAAAGGAATATGAAGGTTAAAGAGACTGAATACATCTGAGCCATTGACAACGACTTTGAGCCATGTCACCTAGTGTCTCCAACCATTGATTCTTAGAGTCCCGAGGGCGGGCCCCAACCCGGAAGTCTGCATCTCCCTACCTGACTCAGTTTAACTGTCAGGGATTTCATGGATTGATGAGGCCATGTTTTTGTTTGGCCACCACTTACTCTTTTCCAACCTGCACCTATATCAGCTAGTAATGCCCGTCGAGGGAGACGATGGTTAGGCATGCACAGCACGTGACCTAGCCATCTCAATCTATGTAACTTTATAGCCTCTTCGATTGATTTTCCCTCCTTGCCCAACACTCTACGCCTAACGTCAACATTACTTACCTTATTATGCCACCTAACGTGAGAAAGAGATCGTAGACATCTGTGATCTACGTGATATCTAACGCCATCACTAGCCAACAATGTCATCGGTGAGTGTTTGTCCTCATGCCTAACATACTGGACCCGACTGATCACGACCTTTCGCTCACTAGAACTTCAGGCAACTTTATCCTGTCTACAGTCACTAGTGAGCATCGGATTAATTTTCGGGTGTTGGTTTTGGAGGGATTTGATTGGTTCCAGGTTATGTCGTAGATTGATTGATGACATCAGTTGGAAAACTTGCAAACACGAAGGAAGTCACTGAGTTCGATTATTTGTTGTGGAATCTTGGGCGAGTACTGATGAGGAGTCTCGAAGAAGAAAGAGAAAAAACAACTACCCGGTACCTGCTGATGGTTTCCAGTAGTTCTCTAACTAATAATATCAGTTTGTGATCTCGTCTAAAGTAATAAAAGTAATCTTTGATGATAACAATGGGTGGTGCTGGATGGAGAATAGGTTTCAAACTCTATCTGTTGCGTTATAGTTATGATCGTAATTATAGCGAACAGATTAACTATCATGGTTTCGTATTATTATTGTGAACGTTAATACTACTATTGTAGTTATTATTATGTTTTGGTGGCTACCTTTGGTTGGTTACTTCATGAATTAATTGATTTGAATTAGCCTTTTCAATAATCGATATCAGGAAATCATTCGGAACAAGGAAACAGTTGAATGGTCAAGTCGTCCTCGTTTCTGACTCTTCAACATTGTACGCCCATGATCCAGCTACGGGGATAGTGGCTGTGAGAATTTTAATGTCCAAGCCAGGTGAGCCGCCAGTTGACCATTCAACCAGTAGTAGTGGCAAGTGGTATGATCGGTGGGTGCATAGCTGAAGAGAGTGGTTGCTAGTCTTCAATAACTCTCTCACTGATATGTTAATTCGTCATTAAACTTGTCATATGATTGTCATGCTACACGTGTATGATGGTTTTCCTTTGTTATCTTGTTTTTTTTTAAATTTCTAGCTTGATACCACTTCTACTGCCACATGCTGAATTATTAGCTGAAGATCATAGTTTCGCCTGCTTATTGATCCTACGTCTTGATCGTGTTCGTAGAGCTTTGCTACCGGAGAAGGAATATTTCACGGTATACTGTCTTCAACTGTTTCTTTCATTATTGATATATTGTTTTACTTTTCTGTGTGACGATGAATGGCAAATTTTTACAACTGTGACTAGTAAGTGTCCTGCTGCTACTTCACGAAATGGTCTACAAAACTGTAATGTTATTTGTTGCTGGTTGTAGTGATGGTGGTGATGATCGGAGGGGGGAGGGGAAATCTCTTTCACAAGTGTAATCTGCTCTCAGCGTTGTTTCAGCTACAGGTGTGTCGACATGGATGATGACTTCGAAGTTAGTATGTGAGATTGAGACGGCATGATAGGCGTTGTAATTACTCTGAAGTGAGTATGGAGACCTGGTCCACAAGATCTCAAATTGTAACATTTAGTATCAACTCAGTGCTTGTATATGGTTCGGTGACACGGCGAGAGTGTCACTGAAGGTATTTCTAATAAGGTAAGGTACTGCAAACTCTCATGATCATCTGTTTATCTCTCGATACTGGAAACTAGATAACTCGAAGAAGAACTTCAGGAGCATGGAACTCTGGCAGGTAGAGAACCAGTCAACAACTTATTGCCCATTTAGCGAATATACAAAGAGCAGTGGAGATGAATTGAAAGTACTCTGAGAATACTGTTGAGGGATATCACACACTATCACACTAGGCAGATCGTCAAGTGGAAATCGAATGGGGGGGGAATGGTGCGTTGAGTCGAGGATTGTAGGAGGATTATATTGACGAGATCGAGTGTGAAGCGGAGAAAATGGAAGCTTGTAGGCAAATGTGGAGCTAGTCGGTAGGTAGTATTGTCATGTTTATCTGCATATGACAGCTCGTATATATATATATATATATATATATAAATATATATATATATATACATATATATATATACGTAACAGTGTACTTGCCTGCAGCGCCGCTTAGTTTTCGTATGACTAAGATCTTAGATAGTATATTATTATTCCCTTGGGTTCCGAATGGAACGTAGGACCTCAACAACACATCTCCACTTTCTTCTACTTGCTGCCATCCTCTTCAGTTGGCTCCGCGATCCCCCACAATCTCTCATCTCCTCCTTCATGTCACCCTCACACTGACGACCCACTCGTCGCTCCCCATTGGGATTCCACTCGGACGATGACCTGTCGTGTGATGTCATTTGACAGTCTCCTCAATGTGTGCCCGATCCATCTCCATTTTCCCCAAGATTTTATTGAGCGATCGGCTCTTGGTTGGTTTGTTCTCAACCAGAGTTTCTTGTTGCTAATTCTTTCTGGCCGGCTAACCGGCCATTTGATCTTCAGTATAGAGCCAGCCAGTGAAGCGGGTAGCTGTTGATAAAAGTCTGCAATTGGCTGTTGGAAATCCTTTCCGTGAAAAACTGGGCTGGTTTCTGGCCCCTATAGAAATGACTGACTGACTTCACATTTGTGTTGAGTAGAATCCTAAACTTGTTCTTTGTGATGCTGAGATGGAGTGCAGAAGATTTTCAAACTGGTTTCAGGTTGATGAAGGCGTGCGTGTCTGGCCTTTTCGATTCTGGCTGGCTGGCTGGCTAGTCAGCTTTGACATCTGCATCCGTTCCGAATTCCTGTGGTTGAAACAATGCTTCCTAGCCGGATAAGTGAATGCAGGAAGTAACCTCTGTCAAATGTCTCCTGTTGGTGGTGATTGGTTCTGGTTGTTGTCGTTGTTGCGGTTCGTTGGTTATTTTCATCACCTCCGTCTTCTCTATGCTCACCTGCAGTCCTGTCTTCGCTGCTAGCCTGTACAGCTATTTTGTTGGTTTTCGCCTGCGAGTCTTTGAGTTTGTTTGATATCAGACATATATCATGTAGAGTCTTCTTATCGGTCTGTCCGACGAATTCCTGTCTTCTCACTCCCCACAGTCTTCCGCATTATCCAGTCCACCACAATTAGGAGTATCATCGGTGGTAATAGACAGCCAGTTTGTCTAACTCCTGTATTCACTTCGAACGTCCCGCTGAGTTTTCCGTTGTGGATCACCTGACACGTTGCACTATCATATGGCTAGCTGTTGAAGGAGGTTGATAAAGACTTAGGCATTGTACCCCATAATGTTGAAGAAGTTTTCAAATTGCTTAGCGGTCAACGCTACCGAAGGCTTTTTCAAAACCGACGAAGTTAAGGTAGTGATTTGATTTCTCGTCTATACGGCCTCTGGCCGATGATTATGCTTACAGTTGCAATTCGGTCAACACATGACTTGATTTCCCTGAATCTTCAGCTTGTTCCGGGCTGGCAGAGTCCTGCATCCAGTTTGTCATTTAGTCCTTTCAGGACGACGTGACTTAATATTTACTTGGTGTAGACAAGGGCATGATTCCACTCAGAAACCTAGGTCGCCCTTCTTTGATAGTTTGACAAGGTAGTCTTTATTCAAATCAGTAGGCACATTTCCGTCCTTCCAAAGTGTTTGCAGTAGTGGTGTTAGCATAACCACTGCGATCTCTGAATGTGTTTACAGTGCTTTCGTAGAAATTTTGCCCGGCCCTGCTGACTTTCAGTAGCTTGATTGCATTCAAGACTTCGCTTTTGTTGGAGAATTATTGTCCATTGACAAGCAGTTGTATGTCTTCTGTTGGTGGTATTTGTGGACGAGTTGCAGGTGATGGTCGATTCGAGAGTCGTTTAACGTGATCAGCCCGTTGTTTTCTTTGTTACCCCTTTTCGCCAATCGGGTTTCTTGCGCTCTTAATGGTTTCATCGGTGCTGATCTCTTCCGGTATAGAGCCCTGTCTGTGTAATGTTTTGTTGTGAGGTTTGTCTTATCTGTGGCCTGTTCTGCTTCATTTTTTAATGTCATACAGGCGTGTTTCGTATTTCCTAGCATACGTCTTCACTCCTTTATTCAGTGCGCTACAGAATGAACTCAGCTTCTTCTTTCGCTGTTCATTTTCGCTCCAGTTCATTTTCTTTTTCACCATACTTCTCTCCAGTATTTTTTTCTTCCTTCACGTTCCCAGTACAACATAGGGCCTCAAGCTAGTGGCTTGAAGTTTCTGTAGCATTGTTTATTTTACAGGATGGGGTTGCTAGCCTTATGCCCAACCTTTCCTCTTTACCAGCATTATTTCTGGCTTAACGAGGTAAAGGAGTGCGTCGGCCGGGGATCGAATCCCGGACCATGTGCATGGTCGGCGAGCGTCCTAACCGCTATGCCACCGACGCACTCTCTCCAGTATTAGCTTCCAGAATCTCATAGTGGATCACTCCTTATCCTAACCCTTCTTTCTTCGTAGGATGGCTACATAGGTTTACTTCATCGTCACTTTCAGAGTGTTCTGGTGTTCTCCCACACAGCTATCCTCATTGGTGCCGTTCAGTGTCTCCAACTTTGCTGTAATGGCTGAAGTGAGTGTGTCTTTTGTAGTTTTGTCTTGAAGTTTCTGAGTGTTGGACTTGGATTGTGGTCTATGTCCAGTTGTTTTGAAGGCTTGCGAATTGTCCCTGGAGGTTTCTTGCACTGGATAATGGTCTGAGGCCATATCTGCCGCGTTTCTGCTTTCTTAAATGGCACTGAAATGAAGTGTATCTGAATTTCGGTGTGTCCTTCAGGTGAAATTTATGTCGCTGCTGGCCTTGTGTATATCTTTGTTCTTGTACATACGGCCTTTAATCACCATATCATTGAAGGCACAGACGTGTGCGAAGAGTTTTCCGTTCTCAATTATTTCGCTCAACGATAGCCTCTTGACCTATGGTGGATTCTGTTCCCGTATTGTCTTCTCCCAGTTTAGTTGGCATTCATATCGCTCCGTAAGATTTCGATGTCTCCATTCAGGATGTTGTCCATTACTGTTTGCAGTTGTATACAGAAATCTCCTTCTTCTTCTCCTGTTTTTCTGTCTTGTTTTTAGATGCGTAGAATTGGCTAATTGTGACTTCCCTTCCTTTCTTTTGAGTTGAATTTTGATGTGATTATCATGAATGCATTTGGTTCCCACTGCACAAGAGGTTTGGCTACTGTTAGTGACATCATGATAACCACTGCCTTAGTGTTCTGGTGGTTGTCGTCTGGGTGACCTGAGCAGATTATTGACTCTCCATTTTACGATCTTCTCCTACCTGGCAGTAATCCCAGTGAAGAGAGGTGGTTTTGCATAAGGCCATCAATCTTACACTGTGAAAAACAACATTAACGTTACTGAGACTTCAGAGCTCACTTGGGATGCATCAAAAAAGAAGAGATGCTATGAATATATGTATGTATACCCTTATGCATTGAAGACTGTCTCCCTTCCCTCTTAACTGTCAAACTTTGGTTTTTTAATTATTTCAATATTTGGATTATTCCTCGGACGCCACTACCATAGGAGTCGTGATAGAGATGTTAATCCACGGTGCTGCGTCATAGGTTAATCACATCTCCACTTTTACCACCCAGGGGTCGTAAACAGTTACCGGTATGGGAGTCGTTGGAAGGACATTCGTAGTACATATTGAAACCACAAAAGCCAGTGTTCAGAGATTATATTGGTGATCGATTGCGCGGAGTGGTTGCATCACTTCAGATCGGAAAGTCGAGGTTTCATGAGAACTAATCGAAATCGAGCATATCGATGCATTGTAAACTCGACATTTTGTTGGTCAAGCTAACATCGAAATGGCGTCAGAGGTGGCCGACGTTGGCGTAGGTTACTTGTGCTTCCATTGTAAAGTAAGAGATGTCATTCGTCAGCCTGAATACACGGACTTATCGACTACTTTTAGCCTAACACCTGCGAGGGTTAATTCAGACACAAGTCTCTGCCAAACTGGCAGGAATACTTTGCACTTTAAAGGAGCGAAGGGTACACAATACTTACAGACGGTGACGACCAACTGAGTTGATACAATCTAGGTAGCCTGTATGTTTGCACAGTAAGACTATATCGAGTAAACATATATTTGAGAATGGAAGGTTCTTCTCCAGATAGCAGATCTACACTGTCACTACTACTATTGTCGTCATCGTAGTAGTAGTAGTAATAATAACAGTTTGTTGGTTTTACTCCCAGTATTTACATTTGTCCACTTTATTTTCTGTTTTGTGAATGCTTTTTCAGCTTCTTCATCGTCTATTCAAATATTTATCATTCGAGAGTAAATATGAACTGCTGAGGTGTATTCAAGAGAAGAAAAATTCTGTTTATGAAACCCCGCTATCAAAATCAAATGCTTGTTTTCAGTCATCTATTCGTCCAGTGTTCAATCGTTTAGCCTCCTTGGATAGTAGTAATGCTGATGACACTGTTGATCAAACTCATAAACAATCGATATTGACTACTGATTTCACCAAGGATGTAAGCTGTTTATTATTTTACACTGGAAAGTCTTTCCCCTATTTGTCATTGACAGACGATTTTCATTCATTTGATGATGATAGAGCCATCTAAGCGTCATTGTATTTGGTCTGTATTGTCAAGAATCGAAAGGGTTAGAATGAATGAGTCATTGAAGTCCGGTTGAATTGGCTAACGTTGTAGTCGAAAGCTTATTGGATACGATGTCCGGTGAAGAGATGGTGTGCACACTTCTAAAAAGAGTCGTAAACAAGGAGGACGAAATAGCTGTCCAGCGTGCTGTTTATTTTTCAATGATTCTCTAACTGATGTTGGGTTGTGACAGAGTCTACAGTGAAGCTCGTTAATCAAAATCCTTATGAAATCCGTAATCTGAGTAAAATTGTACAGTCAGTCATTGGGAGATTTGTAATGCCGTATGGCTGAAGGCAATCGCCAGTGAAACGTGGTTATTGATGCACTCATCATCAAGGTGTATTGATTAACACCAGCATGATGGAATTCGAGCCCAGCTCACCTTGAGCAAATTTGCGAACCAGACTGGTAGAATTGATTGTGCACCACATAGAACACACTAAGCTGTAGAACATGTGTTTTTGAATAACCCCCTGTTGATCAGTCAATATATAACCACTACACTCTTGTAGAGGAGGTCTATCATGAAGTTTGAACAATAGTAGCTCTGCAGTATCACCTCTTTATCTACAACGCTGGATGACGCGTGTTGGAATATCAGAGGGATAAATTGTCAGTCCTTTCCTGGTTCCAAATACACCTAGTCGATGTGCACCAATAAGCAGGTAATCTGGGAACTTGTCTGTAACCATTTAATAATAATTCGGATAGAGGAATTGTTTCGCATAAAAGTAGATAAGTGACATCTTATAGCTGATGATAATAGGAGATGTAATGTAAGTGTTACTCAACGCTGACCAATCTGTTGTTTCTCATATGGCAGGGTTGGTAGAATACCCGTCAATCATGCATATATGGTTTCGGATTCAATCCCCAACCACCTGACTTGTTTTCTAGCTCTTCAGCATAGAGAAACGCTCTTTAATACCAGGGACCTAGAAAATGCAAAATTTGGAATCAGATGATTAGCTAGTCTTTATTTTTATCCATCTTTCCTCATCTCATCTGTCTGTTTTCTTCTCTTTCATCCTATCCAGTTTCTTTCAGATTGTGAAGTGGTACTGTTCACACATCCCGTACGTTTTTTCACTGAGTTAATTCAATTTCCAGTTAGACAACAGCTTCCTCATTTACAGGCTGCTGTTCAACAGGTGAGTCGACTTTTCTCCCTTCTCTTTTGTGATTATAAAGTGGTTTTATTTATTGATTTATTTCTTTATCTATTGCTTCACAATCAATGTTAGATCACGAAGTGATTTCATTTGGTAAGTCCTTTGAAAACCCCAGCAGGGTGTATAGGACAGCTGCTGTGTTCCTAGGTTTTAGGACTCCTTGCCAGCACGCTCCTTTTTCCACCTAGGGGAGGCTAGCGAACTGTGGACAGTATAGTATAAGAGCCGTTGGAATAGCATTCGTAATACAATATCCAAGTCAGAAAAATCTGTGTTTCAAGATTGTATTGTAACGACAGAAGGCAAGAGTCAGGCAACAGATCATTTATTAAGGAAATCAACGCATTTTTATATATTTTCATGTACATTACTATGGATATTTAAGCAAACAAACACAGTCTTCCTATTGGTTGTTTCTCACGTAAAGTTAATCTTTCATCTATTTGTGACTATTTCTTGAATGTCAAATCCTCTATATGTTAACTGCATCCGCCTACGCAAAGTCTGCTGTGGTCGGTTTTGAATCAATCTTTGTTCACATTTTCTCACGACAAATCTTGGGAACGTAAATATTGACGTAAATTACTGTCTACCAATTTGGCTAGTAGACAGCTCTCACCACAGTATCACTTGTTGTAGGGGGTTAGTTAATGGAAGAAGACAGTGGAATTGTTGAATTTGTCAAAATGGAATAATAAATGGCATTGAAATCTTAGTTTGTAAAAAGTGTTCGCATTCTGTCTCATTTTGTCTTTTGTCTTTATTTTCAAGTTGCATTTCTGCTTAACACTTCCGTTCATTTCTCTCTTCACCTTTCTGCAACTTGATCTATCATTCTGCTATTCAAGATTCCTACAGAGACATCACCCAATAGCACTTGTTTTCTTCATTGCCTTCTAAAGGGGATATGCGGGGGGGGGGAATCAAGCCTTTTGAAGTTTTCCAGTAGTGGTGGTGTTTTCACAAGAGCCAATAAGGCTCTTTACCTTAACTTACCTTCCTTTTCTTTCCTTTTCTCCAGGCTTACTACGTGCCGACGTTTTAACAAACCAGGCAGAGTTTAGCAGTGCGTCAGCTGCCAGTAATTTAACCCGGACCTCATACACTGGCGGCGCTTACCACTGAACCATTAATGCGATACTACTGTAACAACAAAAGACAAGGGCCAGGCAACAGATCGTTTATTAAGGAAAATCAACACATATTTATAGATTTTAATGTACATTATTGGTTGTTTCTCACAGCAAGTTAACCTTGCATCTCTTTGTGGCTGTGTCAGATCATCCGTATGCTAACTGTATCCGCCTACGCAAAGCCTTTGTTCTCATTTTCTCACCAGCAATATTGGGGACATAAACATTGACTTCAATTACTGTCTACCAACTTTGGCTAGCAGCCAGCTCTCACCACACTACTACTTCACTCTAATGGAAACTTCTCTCTCCCTTTTTCTCCCTTCTAGCTGATCGATGAATTGTCTTACGTGTTCCCAGTACCTACAGATTTTTTCCCAAAGGAAAGAAAAGTATTGGATAAATCAGGTAGTAAAAGAAAGAGCAAAGCAACACTTGGACAAGATCACCACAACCACCAACAGCAACACCAACAACAACTGAAACAATCCATTCACAGTACAATCTTTCAAGAACTTATTCTTGTTGATTGGTCAAATCGTCCATGCTACAGTAATATTTCATTATTCGGTGCAGAAGACATATATGCTGAAGCGGATAAGATTAATTTATTGAATGTGAAATTCAATTTTAACGATGATAAATGTCTGCTGGACCAGTCTGATGAGTCGATTAATAATAAACTGTCGGGGGATCTAATCTTGGATACTCTAGTTCATCTGTTTAAAAAAGTGAGTTTTTAAAATCTAGTTGCTTGAGAACTGCTTCATTTCAGTGTGAATTTGTATTTGTTCATCCTCTGATTTGTTCTCGACTGCTTCTTGTACAGATACTTCGACGATGTATGAAGATGGGAACGATGTTATTTGGCTGATGGTAGCTAGCAGCGAGATGCAGGTTGCGTATTTCGACCTATTAGACGGAGTCAGATGAATGTCCCTCCAAAGTTAATGAAGGATGTGGTCCCTGGTGAGATTCGAACCCAGTATCCATGGTTCTATGAGGCAAAAAGTTATGCATAAAAGGTGGCTCTCGTGGTCTGATGGCCTAGTTGCGTTTGACCGAATGGTCGCTAGATTCTATTCTTAGTGAAAGCACCACTCACTAAGGATGAAGTTGCATCCAGCTGACGAGTCCCGAATGGGATGACGTTCGCCTCCTGGATTCCGCTGCTAGCAGCCACTGCTAACCAGTGGCCTTGGATTAGTGTCGATCACTGGTTATTCCAGTTTATAACGGACTGACTTCTGTTCAACGTGGAAGTTAGCACCAGTTCAACTTACTACATATCAAGAGGCACACATGACAGTAAAGGAGATTAGGTGGTAAGAAATTATGAGAATCAAAAACGTACGGCAGATAGAATATGTATATAGAGAAGAATGAAAATGGGATGGATCTGGGAGAGCATAATGAGTGAATACACGCGAGCCAATGAAAATGTTTTTGAGTCATATCAACACGGATCTCGAGTTATTGATTCTCATCGTCCTGAGGACCCCAACGAGCTAGCCGGACAGTCTATACACTTCCCTGCGTGACTAACTGAAACTGGCAGTCAGGCTCTTCATGGACTAATTACACTGTTTCCTTTGATCCCGTCTGACACTTTGTCAACCAGATCCTATGTCAGCTGACGTCACTCGAGGAAAGCAATGACATGACACACGCCCTAACCATTTCAGTCGATGCAGTTTCACAACCGCATTGACTGACTTTCCCTTTTTACCTAGCAGTTTACGCCTAATCTCAATATCACTCACTGTAGTATGCAACTTAACAGGACAGATAGAATTGAAAAGTACACGGTCAAATATAGAAAGTCTTTAGGTCTTCCTCTTTCAATCGTTGTGTCTCACAGTCTTCTCTCTTCATTACACTCTGAACATTTCGAATCTGATATTGTAGCTAACAGATACTAATCTCAGTGGTAATCACGAAGAACATGGACGTCATCTTCTGCAACAAAAAAGGCATTGGGACGTAAAAATAAGATCGTACAGATGTGTCGTTGATGGCATGAGATTTTTAGCCGTATCGAAGAGCGAGGCTGAGTGTTTCGGCTTTTTAGATGACTTTGACGAACTGTTAAATTCACTGACAGGTATAATTAAAGAATCAGGAACAAATGAGTAAGTGCCAGCTCTTCACAAAGAGATGCTGGGAAATCAAAAAAGATTCAGTAGTGAAAGGTTGCGGTGAATATATCTAACAAAACATTTTTCTGTCTGTCAATTTCCTCAGTGAGACGCACTGGTGACGCACTGAAGAAAGGCCTCATATGTTCACGCAACTCCTCGGTTCAACCTCCACAGTGGGAATACAATAGGGGCCATGATGTCGCAAGCATCCTCTAATATTCACGTGTATGCTAGCAAGAAACTAGACAAATGCCAAGCCTGCTATTCCACTGGCAGAAGGGAGATGTTCTTCCTGGTTGAACCTCTGCACTGCTTACGTCACTGTCTTATTTAACTCTTCTTTGTAGTATGCACAGGTCATCGTACCCTTCAGTTGCTTCAATAAATGTCTCTTGATGAACGTGTGGAGAACAAGTAGCAGTCGTTTAAGAGGAATTTGATTTCACATACGAATGTCCGTCCGTCTGTTTACTGCCGAGTTTTGATCATATAATGAATAGTTGTTACAACAATGGATGTGAATAGGGAATCGAATAAAGAGACAGACACGAAAATAGAATCAGTCTACTAATGCCAAAGTTATGCAAATAGTATGCCTCTGTGACGTGGTGCATCTGTTGTCAATGGGAACTTCTTTGACTGATACGTGACATGCTGTATGTAATGGAGTCAAATTTATCTCCCTCGTCTTCCAATGGGAGATGTGTATATATATATTGGTTGGCAACAGGTTGTATTTGTCTGGTACGCCGCCAGAGTTTCTTGTTGCTTGTCGATTCTTTCCTTCTAGTCGACAGGTGATCTGATCTTCAGCATTTAGCCGATGACAGAGGCAGGTGTTGTTTCATAAAAGTCTTCAGTAGCTTGTTGAAAATGCTCTAAGGGATGCATTCACCAAATTTCTCTGAACTAAAAAAAACTTAGAACTGACTGAAATGATATTAGTATTAAAAATTCGGATGTTGTTCTTTTAGTTCAGTGCTGTGGATTTTCATACACACACACACACACTCACGCACAAACACACTGATTTCAGAGTGTGATGAATGCGTGCCTATCCTGCTTTTGGCATCTAAATTTGATTGACTTCGTCACTGTCATACTGTGGTGAGAGCTGAAATTGAGCCGAAATTGGTAGACAACAATTGACGTCAATTTTTATGTCCCAAATCTTGGTCATGAGAAAAAAAAACAAGAACGAAGACAAACTCAACAACCAATCACGGCAGACTTCGCATGGGCGGATACGCCTAGCAGATACATCAACGGACTGTCTAAGAAATGGCAACAAGAGATGATAGAATAACCTACAGTAGGAAAACAACCAATCAGAAGACTCTCTTTCTCTGCTAACAATAACGAATAATAATGTACATAAAAATCTACAAATATCTCTTGATTTCCACAATAAACGATCTATTGCCTAGCCATTGTCTTCTGTCGTTACAATAAGTGCCGCTATACATATATATATATATATTATTGTTCCTAGTGGAACATAGAGCTTCAACTGCACGTCTCCACTTGCTTCTGCCTTCTGCTGTACTTTTCACCTGCATCCATGTTAGTCCATACTGCTTCAGCTCCTCTTCACACGATCTCCTCCATGTCATCCTTGGACGTCCCACTCGTCGCTTCCCTTTCGGGTTCCACTCGAGCTATGGCCTGATGCGCGATGTCACCCAGCGGCCTCCTCAGCGAGTGTCCAATCCATCTCCACTTTCTCCTGCATATTTGTTGGGCGATTGGTTCCTGTTTTGTTTGTTCCCATAGTTTCTTGTTGGTGATTCTTTCCGGCCATCTGATCTTCAGTATAGAGCGAAGACAGCTGTTGATAAAGGTCTGCAACAGGCTGTTGGAAATGTTCTTTGTGACCCGCCAAGTTTCTGATCCGTATAGAAGAACTGACTGACTTGACGTTTGTATTGAAGATCCGAATTTTGTTGTTGATGCAGGCTGAGTGACGAAGATTTCCAGATTGGCTTCAGGTTGATGAATGTGTTTCTCGCCTTCCCGATTCTCGATTTGACATCCTCGTCCGTTCCTCCTGTAGTTGAGACAATGCTCCCTAGATAAGTGAATGAAGTAACCTCTTTCAAATCCCTCCCGTTGATGGTGATTGGCGGTGGATGTTGCTGTTGTTGTTGTTGTTGGTTGGTTATTTTGATAACCTCCGTCTTGTCTATGTTCACCTGGAGTCCTGTCTTTGCTGCTTCTTCGACCAGTTTGTCGGTTTTCGCTTGTAAGTCTTCGATTTTGCGTGACATCAAACATAAATCATCCACGCGCGAAATCCAGGTCTTCTAGGTTCTTCACGTTGGTCCAGGATATCGCTGTCTTCCCGTTTCCCACTGTCTGACGCATAATCCAGTCCACCACAATTAGGAATATCATTGGTGATAATAAGCACCCTTGTCTGACTCCTGTGTTTACTCCAAACGCCTCGCTGAGTTTTCCGTTGTGGATCACTTGACATGTGCCGTTGTTGTGCAGCTGTTGAATAAGGTTGATGAATACTTGGGGTACGCCGTAGTACTCGAGTAGTTTCCAAATTATTTCGCAGTCTACGCTGTCGAAGGCCTTCTCAAAGTCTATAAAGTTGAGGCCGCTTTATATATGGTAGTTGAAATGATTAAGGTAATTCAACATAAAGCACTTCTTTGTTCTGCCCTACTTGTCAAAAACTAATCTGTTGTATTTTCTCTGCTTTTCCCTTATTTCTTCCTATACAGCCGGATTGTATCATTCAAATTAACACAATTTTACAAGTATTTCTAAGTTATTTAAAAGATAATTTACAATCACTAATTTATAAACATTCCAATATGGGACATTCAACAACAGCACCAACAGCAACGCCATCAACTCAACTGACTAACAATAAGGCGGTGAATAATTCTCCTACACTTCAAAGTATGCATGTTCGTGGATTTATAGATATGCTGTATCGATTAATAAAAGTAGCTTCATCTGGTCATGAACTTTTATTGATAAACAAAATCAATATAAATGAATTAGTGAAACAATTTATGCAATTATTTAATATCCTATTCCTGAATCAATTTAATAATGAATTCACTATTACTACTACTACTACTACTACTGCGACCACGACCAACACTCCTGTTGCTGCTGTTGCGGCTGCTACAACAACTACTACCACTAACAATAATAATGACAGTCAGTCAACTTGTCCTTCGTCTGTATTCATTCCCCTACCTGATGATAATGATAACGTTGATGATTATGAAAAATATTTTCAATACCTGATCACAAGTGAAGTAGATGTCATGTTGTTGCAATTGATTGCTCACTGTTTACAACTATCTCTATCCTCTTGTCCGTGCAGTCGTCAAACAGAAGGTGGAGGCAGAGAAGATGAAATCAGTCGCCATATCAATAATACGCTACATCTACTGCAGACATTTAAAAATGATATCCTCAATTCGAAAAGTACAACACGTCATTGGTGTAAACAAAAGTGGTCGTACTTATTCAACAGTTCAATATTTGCTTCAATGACTGCGTTGAAATTAAAACAGCATAAGTGTTGTTGTTGTTTGAAAAGGATCAATGTCTTAAAGGATGAACTGTTTAGCTTATCTATTGAATTGTCTAGTCAGAAATTGAATACATTGACACGGTTGATGGATATTGATGCCTTTCATCGAAGGTAAGCTTTTTCGGCCTCATTTTTTCCCGCTATACTACTTGTTTCTTTGTTTGCTTTAGTCGAAGTTTCAGTAGCTGTAATGGCACGATGATCTAGTCTCAAGCCTAGCCTTCCTTTCTTCTGGGCTTACTATGGGGTTAGTTAACTCTCTGAGCGCGTGGTTTAGGAGTAGTGCGTTGGTGACCAGTGAATCGAATCCTGATGTTTGTATCATAGGATAAAAGATTTCGAGATGGTTAAGGGTATATATATCCACTGTAGATCTTTTTCGTTTTGATTTATATCTTGGTTATAATCTTTGCTGACACTTACACACATTCACACTTGTCGACAAAGTTGTGTACAGTGATGATCTGTAGTCTTGATGATTGGTTTTACTGTTTACTGTTGTTGCATTCTCTGAGTGAGCTGGATGACACTCTGATTGTTCTTTTAGCCAAAAGAAATTCGAAGCTGACTTCAATGTAAAGTGATCTTCAGGAATTATATTTTTCCTACGTGAAACATTTGTCTCTCCTGGCTGGTGATCATCTTAGATGTAATTGGTTGTTCGGGTAGATTCGTTTGCGATTGCGTTGGTCGGTATTCATCCTCTTCTTTGACGTGATGATATTTGACCTTTTGCTCATATGACTGACATAATGCTTATTGGTGGTTATTGATAAAATTCCAAATCGATAAAATTACTGGGCGTCTAGGCTGGCTGGCTGGCTGGATTCAACATAGAACTTGGCACCGAAGTGCAGCAGTTCGAGTTGCCACGTTCCAAAGAGCACACAAAGGTAGACAAGAAAATGAGTGAAGAGAATCAATAGAGTTTTGACAAGTACAAGAATGGAACAGAATGAGTAATGGTAGAAAGGAATATGAAGGTTGAAGAGACTGAATACATCTGCGTAAGCCGTTGACAACGATTTTGAGCCATGTCACCTATTGTCTCCAGCCATTGATTCTTAGAGTCCCGAGGGCGGGCCCCAACCCGGAAGTCTGCATCTCCCTACCTGACTCAGTTTAACTGTCAGGGATTTCATGGATTGATGAGGCCATGTTTTTGTTTGGCCACCACTTACTCTTTTCCAACCTGCACCTATATCAGCTAGTAATGCCCGTCGGGGGAGGCGATGGTTAGGCATCCGCTGCAGCACGTGACCTAACCATCTCAATCTATGTAACTTTATAGCCTCATCGATTGATTTTCCCTTTTTGCCCAACACTCTACGCCTAACGTCAACATTACTTACCGTATTATGCCACCTAACGTGAGAAAGAGATCGTAGACATCTGTGATCAAAACAGACAACCTTTTCATGTTTTCAACTGGTATTGGCCATGTTTCAGAGCCATAGAGAAGGACGGAGCGAACTGCTGAGCAGTACAGACGTCGCTTGGTTGATAGCCGGATGTCACGCCTACGCCAGAGACGGTGTACGTTAGCGAAAGCAGCTCGAGCTTTTTGGATCCGTGCTGAGATTTCGTCATCAATCAATCCGTTGCTGCTGATAGAAATTCCCAAATAGGTGAAGTGGTCAACATGTTCTATCACTTCACTCCCTATCACTATCACTAAGCTAGGAGTTGACGTGGTCCAGTCCTGTAGCAGCATCTTACACTTTACAGGGGCGAATCGCATGCCAAACATACGAAGATTGCTGCTCAAACTGTTCAGAAAACTCTGCATTTTATCAGCATCCTCCCCTAACAGGACTATGTCATCTGCATATTCTAAGTCCATAAGACTATTCCCTGGTAACACGTCGATTCCTAAGTCGTTAAGTTCATTTAAGGATACTTCCATTAGCATATCTATGATGAAGTTAAACAGAAAAGGGGAAAGTGGTCATCCTTGACGGACACCACTGGTTGTTATCAATTCAGATGACAAAGGGCGTCTAGGAATACTCTGGCGTTCTTTGTGTTTCTTCTGTTACGTTTCCCCCGTTGAATGGATTGATGTTTATAGTTGGTAATGTGAATTGATTTGAACAAACGTATATCGTGTCATTTGACTGTTAGTGTTTGTGATCATGGATACAGTGATGCAGAGAGAATGTCCACTTTGGTCAGTATGTTGTTGTTATTGTTTTTCTTTCTGCAGTTCATACTATGCCATCAAACTGATAGATGCTGCTGATTGTGTTGTTGTGTCCGTCTTTATTTTAACTTAGTATGGAGGGAAGAAGTCGTGTAGGTGTGTGAGGAACTAATATTTCGAGAGAGTTGTTTTCGGATTGTTTTTCTTTCCATCTTAGTGGAACATTGAGCTTGAATTCCTGAAGCGGTAGTTTCACTTTCCGGGTTTATTACCGGCTGTAAAACTAGGTGATATTTAGGAGTGCGTCAGACAGGGCTCGAACCCAGTTCATGCGTATGGTCGATGAGCGGTCGACCACTACACCACACTGATGCACCATTCCAAGACTAATTGTCACGAAATCATGAAGCGTTACATATTTCTAACAATTTAGCCATCCTAATTCAAAGGACGCAGTAACACGAAGGACATCCACAGCAGCTACAAATATTCTCCAGTATTTCGAAGTTGTGTGTGTGTGTGTGTGGTTTCAACGTTGTATAGGATCTTCACTTACTTTTACTTTACTTTACTTCGGCTATCTCCTACGGGAGGATGAGCCGGCTTCATGAACATCTCGAATCATCGCTGCTCAGGAGCGGCGATCTGATGCAACGTTTTGCGACAGGGTTATCCAATTAAGAGAGTTCATGAAGTTTCATGGGAATTTGGTACGAGTGATGTCCCCAGAATCGCTCGGCCTTTAGTTTGAGAGTGCAGCTCTAGCCTTTACACAACCGAGTGTGACCTACAAGGCAGTAGGAGTGGAGTAGAGAGTCCACTATCCATTGTCAGCCGGTGACCGGAGTTCGGTTCATACGCCTTTTTGAATGGGGCCAGACATCCAGGACATCCAACAAGCCCTTTGTCCATACGTCTGCCGGTGAGCTCCAGTGAGGTTCATACGCCAGTCGTTGGAGGTTTGGAATCAGGGTTTAGCCATCTCCCCTAGACTGTCATCCAATGGACAGTCAACCCGGTGAAGAGCGCCGGGCATCCGCTTTCGCCCTCTCACTTTGGTGAAAAAGCACCTCCGCCACGTGAAGGCAGTGAGTAGGACTTCCTCAGGAGAGGCTATGTAAGACGCCCGGTCATATGGGAGCATTTCGAGAGGTATGCGGAAGGGTGGCCAACCCGCAGCACAAGGCACCCACCCCCGACCATCATGAGGCTTTGGAGGATCTTCACACAAGGATCAAATATTCCAGCCTACAACTGATGTCTACTGGTTGTATAATGAGGCTTACAATGTATTGGCACTAGTGATTCAGAAAAATATATTTTATAATATAGAGACTATTGTTTCCCATGATTAGTTATACAAAACTCATTTCTCTGGTGTTTCTGATCAGGAAGTTGTGGGACTGATTGTGATTCGTTTATCTTGGAACACTGAACCTGTGGATATAATCTTGTTGTCTATTAATACCTATGACTAACTGTTTGGCATTTTGTGACTGTTTAACATTAACTAATATCTATTATTGTATATATTATTGGATATACATGCCCAAGTTGACCCCAGTCAGCGAGTCTATGGTTTTGATATTATTTTTGTTAACTGCATGTGACAGTGTTATTACTGCTAAGGTTTTTGTTGTTGTTGTTGTCGCTGTCTTTCCTGCTGTGATTTTTTTTTTGCTTTTGCTGTTCTGATTGCTTTATTTCTTGTTTTCCTGATTCTAATGGGAGCAACCCAAAAATTCGCTACCGGTAAATAACATATGTATGTAACAACCCACTTCGCAGGCGTGAGGCTAGCAACCCCACCATGTAAACAAAACTGCTACAGAAAATTCAGTTCGAATGAGTCTCCTTGTGACGAAAGACCTGGGAAAGAAAGAAGAGTCCTACAGACAAATACCAGTCAACAATGGACAATACTGCATTCGGCGACATTAATATCCTAATTGGAGACATGGACGCCAAACTGGGAACAGGAAACGCAGGAAGAGAACTTATTAGAAGTAGAGGAGCCCTTGGAGAGATGAATAAAAACGGAGAACTCTACGCTGACTTCGGTGCCTTCAATGAACTAGTGATTGGTGGCAGCGTATACAAGCACGAGGACTTCATCTCAATGGTGCTCAAGGGAGTGGAGACGCAGCTTACTGGAAACAAAAGTAAGAAGAGCAGACGTTGGCTCAGACCACTATATCGTACGAGGGACACTCCAAACCAAACTAAAAACTTTCAAAGAAACTGGAGCTGCAGATAGACCACAGGCCAAGTTCAATAGTCAAAAACTGAAGGATCAGGCTACACAGGATATCTCCACTGCAATCATAAGGGAAAAAGCCGAGGGACAAATCAACACTAGTGAAGAGACCAGCGTTGAAAAGCACTGGAACAACCTGAGGGTGGTGTGCAGTCAAACCCGAATAGAAGTTCTAGGCAGAAAGGAGATACAGGGCAAACAGTGGCTGACTACAGACACATGTAGACTAATAGAAGAAAGAAGGAAGGAAGTGAAACAAAAGATTGTCTAGTGCATTGACAAGCAACAAAAACAGGAGTTGAATGCGAGCTACAATACACTGAACAAAGGAGTGAAGAAGAGTGCCAGGGAAGACAAAAAACAATGTTATGAGGCTACGGCAAGTGAAGCAGAACAAGCTGCAAGCAAAGGAGACCTCTCAACACTCTACCAAACAACTGGGTTCCTATCGGGGAAAAGATTGACACAAATTCAGTCAATGAAGAGTGACAATGGTAAGTCAATCACCGAACAGGTGGAGCAAAGCTACCAATGGACTGAACACTTCAAAAGACTTCTAAATCGACCGCCACCTACAACGCGCTCAATAATACTTGATTGTGTATCACACAGGGTGTCTTTGTCCCATCTCATACCCCGTAAATTAGCCTAGGAAATTGTTGGCAGTAATTGTAGTAGTGGTATTATTAGGCTTCATACACGTGGCTTAAAGTCTGGTACTTGAAAACTGTGTTCCGGATAAGTGAATTATGATATAATATGAAATTGGATATCTTCTTCCCCACCTCTGTCATCTCCATGCTCACTTGAAGGTATTCATGCCTTCGCTACCGATTTCCTCCGTTTTTTTGTGATGATGGACTGTTACTAACTGAATTGTCAGTCATGTAAATTGACTAGAATCCGACCCGAAGACACGGTCGGAATGACAACAAAAGTCTACAAATATATCAACGTTTATTGGACAAAATACATCCTTTTTCGTATTAACAAAACGTCATGAATTTAAGCCATTAGTAAACGAATCAGAACCGTCCGATAAGCTTATATCATGCAATTAGTTCCCTTGACAAGTATGGAATAATTCAATAAGACCACCTTTTGCAAGATAACATGAATTCAGTTTATTCCATAGGATTTTGATCAGCTGCACACAACCTGAATAATAGGCGAGATAAGCAATGAATGTGAAGCAGTTTACACACACACACACACACATACACACCGCAACTAAACAGTCAGTTAGTTCATTCTCTCAAAGAGTAGAATAACATACCGAAAATGGAGGCGAGTTACACAACGTATACGAGAAGTAAGAATAGTGAATTACAAGCAAAATAGTGACATTACATAAATTATATTGTACATGGAGAAGAATATCCTGGAATCGTAGCATGCCGAATACGCTACTGACAAGATATACCAGTAGTATACAACGAGACACTGATCGGCACAAAACTATCCAATAGCAGAGAAATACATTTGACGTTTATTTATGAGAGAGCAAATGTGAACCAGTGTAGTGTGGGAAAACATGTGGGAGACAAGAAGAGAAGAAGAAGACAAAGAAACACAATACGGACAAGAGAGCATAAGTCGCACAACAACACGCAGTAGATCTGTGCAAATGACGCTTTCAATTTAGGCTGTCAAATTCCTATCAAACAATCCGTTACCAAATCTCTTGTCTTCTTCCGTTACAGTAGGATACACATTCAGGCACAAGTGGAAACAGCTACTTAATCAGTCATAGGTAATCTTGTCTGTACATTGTAGAAATCATGACTTCACGGATAACAGAAAAGCTTGTTTGTCTTAACAGTTTTCTTCTTTTTTTTTGTAGTACTGGTATACATTTCGAAGCTATTTCATTGGATGATACATCGCCATCAACAACGACAACAGACGACAAAAATGAAACTGCCAGTAACACTGAGTCAGTATTGCCTACAGATAACTTCGTATCACCACGTGTGATTCATTTGATCTTTCAGATAGCCAGTTATTCTAATCAATTATGCATTGAAGTGCTGAAGTCGATTCTCAAAAAAGCCATAAAATCCAATCAGATATGGTGTCAGTTAAATATCACACCGAGTCACCTGTTGATTTCTGTTCTATCGGTTAGTTAACTTTCCCTTTTACCATTTTTCTCATCATTATTCAACTGCATAATTCGATATCGGATGTTTAATGGATTGTGAATGTCAGTAGAGGTTATGCTGCCAGATTAATCTTTATCATAAGTGTTTACGTTCTACACTCCCATGTTGAATGGTATGACAATAATTTCACGAATAATATGTACCCTCCCCCCTCCACCCCTTCCATATAAACTAAGAACATTAAATGCTCTACGTAGGATTCTTGTTAATGTCTGTTCTTACAACAACTGACCAGTTGACAACAACTCACGGAGAAACTTTGTCGAATCTAATAGATGCAATTAAGAAAGATAATATAATTTACCACAGTGTTACGTAATACTAAAGGCAGGTGAAGTGGATAGATAATCAGAGTTTAAATAATTATTATAAAAGTATGAAAGAAATGGGAAATAAGAAAGGTTGGGGGTGTTTTGATTAAAATTCACCTAGGCCAAGGGAGAGACAAAGGTAGAACAAACTTCTTTTGTATGCAGACTTGGATTGTTCTCTCGGATTCACATAGCTTCGGCTATGTGTAAAAGGTGGGTTCGAATTGCGTTCGAAAGGCTAGATGGAATGCGATAGATGACTTTGAAGGCACCATTTCTGTCCACTTGGTGACCGCTGTCAATCAAGTGAGCCAAAATAGAACTTCTTATAGATTTTATTTGACCTTTTTCGAACCATGAAGGAAGATGCTCATTAATGTGTTTGTTAAGCTGTCTAGTTGTCCACCCTATTACAATAAACAAAACAGGAAGAAGACAACAAGACTATGTAAAACAAGTTATTATAAGTTGTGTGACGAAATACATTGATGTGATTATGAGTAGTAATAAATTGTGCTTGGATACAGTCATCCTTGTATTAACACTCTTTCATTACTGTGTGTGTGTGTATGTTGTATCAGATGAAATGATCTAATGTAGAATTAATTCTGTTCTGCAACACATTGCCCCCAGTTTAACTCTTAAATTGAATGTATTGATGGTTCAGGTGGTGTTTGAATATTTCTACTAATGAACTGCCAATTCGAATGAATAAGTTGTTATTTATAGTTCGTGGTTGTGAATTAACACTGTGCTTACCATACTCTAATGCAGCATTTCCATACGAGTCAGAAACCAGGCCAGTGTTTCACGGAAGGACTTCCAACAGCCAATTGCAGACTTTCATCAGCAGCTGCCCGCTTCGCTGGCTGGCTGGCTCCATACTGAAGATCAAATGAGCGGCTGGCTGGCCAAAAAGAATTAGCAACACGAAACTCTGACTGAGAACAAACCGACAAAGAGTCTGTTGTTCAACAATTATGTAGGAGAAAATGGAGATGGATCGGTCACACATTGAAGAGACCGTCAAATGACATCACACGGCAGGCCATAGCTCGAGTGGAATCCCAATGGGAAGCAGTGAGTGAGTCGTCGGTGTGGGGGTGACATGGAGGAGACTGTGTGATTTGGAAGAGGAGATGAGAGATTGTGGGCAATCGTGGAGCCAGCTTGAGAGAACGGCAACAAGTAGAAGAAAGTGGAGATGTGTTGTTGAAGTCCTATGTCCCTCTCGGAACCCAATCGAATAATATTTATACTGTCTAGATTTTTTTCCTACGTCTATCTGGACAGCATCTCCTCCAGTGTTGTGGTTTGTCACATAGAAAACACTGGCCTTTCCTGGCGCTCATTCGTAGTGCCTCTGCGTCACACTGCAAATCTTCAATTTTCTGTGCCCATTGTTTCGATTTCAGCGGCTGTATTGCAGCCACTGTTGTGAACAGTACCTGTTTTGTTGCCGACGTCCATAGGTTATGCAGTGTTGACCAGTTGTGATTTCTGAGCAATGTGTTGTGAGACACCTTTAATAAACTGAGACGCCAACAACTGCGTCTCATACTCTTCACCAAGTGTGGGAAGTCTGTGACGAGGTAGGCCCTTCAGTTTCACAGTCAATATGAATGGGTCTCCGTCCGGTCCCAGCTTCATAGCACGGAACTGCTGAATTACTTACTGCCTGTCTGTCGGACTGTTGCACTCTGCCACCAATTGTCCCACCAATACATTCATGACCTCTATATCACCTGACCGCTCCGCACTGTCTTACGCTAGCTTTATCCAACCTCTCAGCAGCATCCCCAGAACAACCTTTTCTGCTGTTGGTAATGCTTTTCGTGACGCGCGCACTGCAATTCTCTGACCAATGAAGAAACACTAACCTGGCATTGGTATTGAACACCGGAATCCTATTCTTTCAGCTCAGTGCAGCACATTTCCAGGCTGTGTCGAGAATAATGAATGTTTGTTTTTACTTTACCGAGCCTGTCTGACTTTTATACACCTTCAGCCCTGTGAACTGTAAACTATGGTTTCCAGATAAGTGACTTCCCTCTAATTTCTCCGGTTGATAGTGATTGGTAACAGAATAAGTCAAAGGGTATAATAAATAATAATTACAGTAATAATGTGTAAGAAATAACGAATAATCTAAGGTAATCGAGTGGGGATTGACAAGTGATTAGTTACCTGATGAATAGTCATTTGGAAACACAAATGATAGGAGACAGAAGAGTGAAGGATTGCAAGTAGGTTACAGAAAATAAACACATCACATAGAGCCTCTTATGCTTTCTATCAAACGGATGACAGTAAGTGTGTAAGTAAGTGTAGAAAGTCGTAATATAGGTATGTATGTATGTGTGTTGTGAGTAACTTTCAAGTGGGTATACCATCAGATTATTTAGCACTGAAGTACTTGACTATCATATGAGTTAGTTTATAATTATACATTCAATCTATTATTATTATTATTACTGTTGATTCCTGCACTATAAATTGTGTAATATAAATGTATCTTCTTTATAGTTTCTGAGAATCATATCGGTAACGGGACAGATAAGATGCTGGCGGCGTTTATACTTCTTACTTGGCCGATTGATGAAGGCTGGTATACTAACTTATCCCATACCAACATTTTTAATTGAACATGAAAACGGAAGGGTCGTTAATAGTCTGTCAAGATATTTCTACTTATTAGATTGGAGTAGTAAGTTTCTTTTCTTCGTGTTTTATTACAGGTGTCATTATTATTTTCATTGCTTTGCTTACTTTCGGAGTGGAATATAATGCTTTGTAGCGGCGGGGAACATCGCTGTTCCACTCACTTATCTATCTGCCGTGACTTACAGCTAATTTCACAACTTCCCACAAGCTTTCATTCCATCTTCTCTCCACATTTTTTTGCACTTGTGTGTAACTTCCCATTTGTGAGATATGAGACATGCATACATCAACTGGAAAGTGGAGATATCTGACAGGGTATTTCTATTGGCCTATAGTGTGCACCTGCTCCCATAACTCTTCACAGTCTGTCTGTAGTTTTATTACGGTTATCATTATTATTCTCATTGCTATGCTTGACTTTGGAGTCTGTTTGGCAGTCAGGCTAGTCAGTCAGTTCGAGGTTTCCTTTGAAAAGGAGAGAAATATTAATTAGGAGCACAATATATCATGTGCTTAATACGATGAATAAGAGTGGAGCATGATAGTAGTTAAGCCTATTGCATTAGCGGGGCAGGTTGAATTCCACCAGCTTGAACTGATATCTAGCTGTCTGTGACTTGAGTCGAACTCATTATCATACACGGCTAAGGAGCTGTGATGATTCCTCCCTTTTTAACTGTGTGTGTGTATGTAGTTTGTAAATGACGAATTCATCGAAATCAGTAGCTAGCCAGCCAGCCAGCAGCCAGTATTCGGACGGTTCGATCCCTCTAACCTGAATGAAACCGGATAGACACAACTGATGGGTATGGGGTTGCCGCTAACTGAGTGTAACAGCCGTCAAGTGTTTGGATTGGTTCGCAACCACTTTCCAACTATGTTCCGGTCAACCAGTAGTATATATACACATGACTATAGTAATATAGCCTCATGCTTTAACCTCCTCTTCTTCTTTATTATGCCTAATTTTTAATGAAATTACTGGCAATAGTAAGCGTTGTAATGTTTTTCCCTCGTATGATGTTAATGCTCTTAATCAGTCTTTTATACGCTGTCCTTCTACTTTAACTAATTCTAATGTTACCTATCATGTAGCTTAAAACTTTCATGACTTTAATACTCTCGATGTTCTAAAATGTCTTAAAACGCTCAAGCCCTTACGTAGCCTTGGCCCTGATGGTATACCTGCATATGTTCTAAAACTGTGTGCAGATACTTTGTGTTCTCCACTAACCAACATCCTAAATGCTTCTTTCTCCAAAAATATCGTACCTGATGCATGGAAAGACATTAAAATTGTCCCTGTCCCTAAACCTGGAAACGGCAAGAACGTAAAGTTCAGACCCATTGCCGTCACTTCCCCGTTCCTAAGCTCATGGAAAAACTAGTACTTCTTAAACTTGAACCCTTCCTTAAAAACTTTGAAGACCCCAAACAATTTGCCTATAGACAGGGTAGGAGCACTTTAGACGCTGCAGCCGTCTTACACAACAGTATCGTCTCATCGTTAGATAAAGATGCCAAATATGTCCGCTGCACGTTTCTCGACTTCACTTCTGCTTTCGACTCTGTACCTAGATGTCTCCTGCTAAATAAGCTCCCTTTGACAAAAACTGAGTGCTGGGTCACTAACTGGCTGCATTCCTACTTCTCTAACAGAAAGCAGTACACCATATACAAAGGTAAATCATCCTCTGCTGTAATCACTGAAGTCGGATTCCCCCAAGGTGCTGTACTCTCCCCACTTCTCTTTTCTTTCTTTCTACATGACTTACCATCTTCAAATGACATTAATTTTGTCAAATATGCTGATGACCTGACTGTATCTTTGCCTGTCAAATGTCAAAGCGACTGCTCTAAACTTAATGGCTTTCTGTCAGAAATCAGCCAGTGGTTCAAGGAAAACGGTCTTACCCTAAACCCCTCCAAATGCCAAACAGTCAATTTCACCTTTAGGCATAAATCCGACCTAAATAAACTGGTTGGCTCTCACGAGGTGTGCAACATAGATGGCACTGAAATAGAAACCAAATCGGAAATTAAATACCTAGGCGTCATTCTATCTGCTGATCTCTCCTGGTCGTCTCATATCTTAGCGATTTCTAAGAAAATATTCCATCTTACCTTCTACATCAAGAAGTTAAAACATTCTGGTATAACCCAACCCTTACTCCTACAATTCGTTAATTCTCGCATTCTGCCTATTATTCTCTATTGTTCCCCCTTAGTTTTTCCCGGGCTACTGAAGAAAGACTATATCTTATTACGCAGGATGTTAAAGGTTGTCAGCAGGGTAAGCAATGTGCCACTTAACCAACTTGTTAATATTCTGGTCGACAGGCACATGGACTCATGTGAGAAATGGGCCAAATCCATTTTATCTAACTCACACCACCCTCTTCACTCACAACTCTCCCCTTGCATCTCATCAGGCAAAACCAGAAGCCTATATAGAAAACTATATGCTCGCACTAGCAAGTACAAAAACTCAACCATACCCTACTTAGCTCGTGTTCTGTGTGATAAAGAAAGCATTAGGCGTGACACCTGTAATTCATTAAATAGTCAGTAGTACAACTGGATCTCGTCTTTCCAACTCATATCATTTATAGGTACAACATTTTCTTTCTTTCTTTTCCTTTTCTCTCTCTTTTTTTCTTTTTTCCGTTATGTGCTGCTTTGTTTCTTTCTCTCGCTTACGCCAGTAAATATGATAGCACCTACTTTTCTAACACCTTCAAACACTGTTCAATTTTGGCTTTGCTACCGACATGCCAATGTGTTGTTGTAATAATGAACTGAGATTTCCTTAATCTATGTAGAATTCTATTTATTGATAATGTACTAACTGGATGCAATACTGTAGTAAAAATGCTGAGAATTCCATTCTGTATCACAAGTACTGTTTTGGAATAAAGCATATTATTATTATTATTAATGTACTTTTATCAATGCGAAATTTTCAATGTTATACACTCACCAATGTTTTTGTGTTTATTCTATTTTATTTTCAATGAATGTCTGTGTAGAACTTCGTGGTACATTCGATCTATTCGCATTGACATTTCATGTATTCGACTTATGGTGTAAATCGTCATCTTCATGTGCCAGTAATGATGATTGTGATGATGGCGTTTCACATACAGAATTGTGTATTCTACTGCATTCATTAAATGATTTAGTTTCGAATTTTACATCAGTTATTCCAAAACTGCCACCTTCAGAGACGAAATCGTTGAAGATGATGAGTGAAACAACCGTGAATAGAAATAATAATGACAACATCAACGAAGATAACAAGACCACCGAGTCCTCATTAAAACTAAATCAATCTACTGTGACACCTTCAGAGACGACGACGAATCAACCGGAAAGAAGACTAGACGCGATAAAGGAGTCGATCGTGGAACTCAGTAATAGTAATAATGACGATGATTGTGATAATCAGACAAGGTATTCGGAGATGAATGACGACATTAACAATGATAACGACAAGGACAAAGTCAAAACCACTGAGTCCATATTCACAACAACACATCGATCTACCCAACCCCCTTCAATGCAGCAGGAGAAGAAGAAGAAAAAGAGGAAGTCGAAGATGAAGGAGATCTCAACAGTGAATAGTCAAGATGATAAAAATAAAAACAACAATAATAATAATAATAGTGATGATGACAATGACATGGACAACAGCACTATTGAATCTTCATTAAGACACTATCAATTTGTCGAATATACTAGACACTTAGTTATATGCTTATTAGATCAATTGACGAGACGTTTACGAACAGCGAACAGTGAAATTCCAGCCACATTTCACATTGAAACAACTACATTGAATCCATTGTTCAATGTTTCATTGCAATTCGACCAACTTAAACAAACAATTTTATCAATTAAACAAGCTTTAGATCAAACATGAATCAAACACGTCTCTCGACAATATAAAATGTGTACATATTGTTTATTTTTCTATTAAAAAGATTTCATAAATTAAAAAAGAAAACCTCTTTTTTATTTTCCCAATGTTGGTAATATCATGCAAGCGTTAGTTTTCAGGGATTTGATTGATTGATTGGTTACAGGATTTCATCTTGAACTGACATTGATCGGTTAGAGAACCATTTTGAAACCATCGGGGAGTCCTAGATAGCTGTTTCCGTTGTCCTAGTTTGGGACTCTTCATGAGTACGCCACCATTGGGGCTCAAACCCAGGACCTTCTGGTTACAAGACGAGCTAGCTCTTAGACGACCACTAAGCCAGCCATTGAAACCCGATCCAGTGGCCAATGAATTCTGAATTGTGCTAATTCACGCACGATATACTGCGACCGCTAGTGAATGTCCTTCGTGACAAGTATTTGTCCTCACACCTCATCGACCTGCTGTAGCCCACTGGTCATGATTTCTAGTTAGAAATCGGGCCTACATGCTGAACAGAAGCCACATATTAGTTATGAAACTTCCGAAAATACTTTCTACATTCACTTGAAGTACTAGATCAAAAGTAAAAGGAACATAATTGCAAAAAATTTCGTGTGTAGATGAATGATTGTGCGTTATCGGGAGCAACTACTACTTATACAAGGGGGTAATTTTCCAGTTTTTACTTGGAAACAAGAATGGACTAGAGATGATTTGGAAGATTTCGAAGCATAGTAGCGAGTTCAACTCGCCCATTCAGTGAAAATCAAAATTAAGTAGAATGTTATGCAACAGGACAAAACACAAAAGCTCACGAACAAAAGAATTACGCTTACCAGGGTAGTGAGAGACTGGTTACACTATTTTTCTGTGTGCAAAGGTTTGGTCGAAGTCTTTTGATGATAGCAATAGATTCTGAGAGCCGAAGTAACCATGGCTTTCCCGTCGCATATTTTGATATGAACTTCTGAGGCTATCCATTTTTGATAAGGCTCTTTCCGATGACTGCGAATTGCTCTTCGATCTTATCTTCTTTACCCAATGTCCTATCTCTGCTGAAGAGCGTTTTCACCAGGCTCCGTTTGTAGTCGATCGACTAAAATCTGTGATAATTCATTCTTTCCTGTAGAAGAATTTTTCAATCATTTCTTCTTTTTATGTTGAGATCTAAATAGTGGAACTGATTGTCATGTTCATGGCCCTTTTTTAAATGCTATATGTGATGTGCGCAGTTGAAGAGGATCCACGGAATAAAACGAGCTCATAGTATCCTGCAAATATCTTCGTTCTTTCTTTATTCAATCTGATAAAGGGAACTGGATGTTTGCCAAAGATTCCTGTTGAAATTACAAAGTGATAAATAGCATTCAGAGTATTTTGATTGAACACTAGTAAAAACTAGTGCAATGTGTCTAGTCCTTTGTTTGGTGCAGACTGAATTCTATCAGTCAGGTGACGCGTTCGGTTCGAATCTCAGAAGGGACATGAGTTCCTTCACGGTTGCAGATACACCTTACTGACGAGTGCCAACTAGCACGAAACCTAGGTCCAAGGCTTCCTGTGGCCGATTGCCTCCAACTATCTGATAGCATTCAGAGTGTTGTCTGTATGCAGTATGATGTTGTAGATGTGAGAGGATTGGGCTGCTTAGAATAGTTGAAAACGTCTGACATATCACTCACTTAATGCGAACAAGGGGAATTCAATTATTCCATGAGATTTCTAGCTTATATCCACTCACCGTGTGTGTAATTATTAGATTTTAAGTTATGAACCGAAGATATTTATCATCTATTTCTAAACTAGAGACAATATTATCATATAGGACAACAGTGGTATCTAATGTACACCCACCATGCGTATAAGCAAGTTGTTTAGGGTTGCTGAATGAGTAGTATGTCCATTACTTTTAAAAAAAATGCCTCGGTAACAACAGTATGTCTCAACAAAAACGCATCATCCACTTGATGTTTTCGACAGAGATACAATTTCGATATCCCTTGCAGGATGTACCTCATTAAATTTATCCAGGATGTTCTTTGCTTCCTTTTCGTTCTTCATAATCAAAAAAGTATCATCCATGTACTGACAATCAAGTTCGAGTTCATTAATAATAACATCCTTTAAAAACAGATTTTCTAGTTTCGCAAGGAAAATGTCGGCTAGAGGGGGTCCTAGTGGTGACCCCATTGCCACACCATCGATTTGTCTATACAGTTCCTTATCAAATAAAAAGTGGAGATTCATTGTACATTTCAAGAGAAGCTCTTTTAACTGCTCCTGTGGAGCCAGTTACATAGGCCGTACAACTAGGCGTGTTTCTCGTTGATATTCCGAACATCGCCCTGCGTGGTTAAGCAAATGACAAACAAAACCTATTCACAGCGCTATTCTGTCTCATCTTATGGAGACAGAACACAAGATTGACGTTAACCATGCTTTCAGCGTCATTTACCGCATACCTACGAACTTCAATTTTGCCTTAATATTTCGACTACTAAACATTGTTGAGGCTGTGGGGATCCATATTAATAAGCCTAATTTATGCATCCAAAAGAAGTTAGCTCAGTCATTATCATTACCTTGGCCATCCAGGTTTGAATAATCTGGAATTTTTGTGAAATTCCCCTAATTTTGGTTGATATTCTATTCGCTATTATATCTTTATTATTATTTAAGCATCTTTAATGAACTGTAATTCCATTGTGATCTTACTTTACAAATCGATATTCCTTCAAAAACACTAATATTGTTATTAACTACTAATTTAAAACATTCTATGTATGTAAACATATACATAATAGTAGAGCCGGAAGAGGGAATTATCGAAAAGAATATTCTTTGCTGGATTATTTTGTGTTTTATAGATGTCTGAATGAATATTTTTGCTATATTCTTTGGGAATACCTGCTCATTTTCTAAGAATAATACCGCGTACTTCATTAGGAGACATTTGAGAACATTATTTGTATTTAAACCAGGAAAGTGATGATTCATTTCATTTGTAGCACCAGAAATCATGCCATCTGCTGGACGATATATGTGGAGGATTTATTTAGGCGTACCATCATCAAGTGAAGGCGGTTCATTGTTTATTTGCTCTCCACTAGCAAAGATTTCCAGTTGAGAAGAGGAAAATCGACGACATCTTAAGAAGATCGTGCCTTCTGGACAACAAACATCAAGATAGAATTTGAGACAACACGTTTTATTTGTGGTTGTATCATCCAAAACTTGTTCAGTGAATAAGTCCCAGTTTGTATCTTTTAAGATGCTTCTGTGATTCTGTATATTGACACCTGTGTTGAGTTTCCTTGCCATGGTGCAAGAAGGCACTTTTGTGCGACTTTCCGTATATTTCAGGCACTATCCGTAGAATACAATGTTCAGAATTAGTTGGTAGGGTTCTTTTTTGAGCTTCGAGTGCATAATCTGCATTTTACGAATCCAGCTTATTTCGGGCAGAGTTTTGCATGTAAGACATTTTTTGTTCTCTCCAGAATGACGCGACTTAATATTTTGGTTAGCGTGGACATGAGCATAATACAGAGCCAGTTCTTGCAGATGCCCATGGTTATTCTTCTTCGGTAGTTTGACAACGTAGTAGTCATTCTTCCTATCAGTAGGCGCCTTTCCTTCCTTCCCAACCCTTTGAAGTAGTGACGTGGGGTGTCTGCATCCGTTCTCAGTGTCCCCAGAGGAATTCCGTCTGGTTCTTCTGTTTTCCTGGTTTTCACTACCTTTGTGACATTTTTTTTTATTACAGCTCGATTCCACACCGTATTTTTGGTACAGGTATGGAATTTTCAGCATGTGATATCAGTAGCCCAAATTTTGCAGGCCGACCATAGATATCAGGTGTGCATCGGCAGCGGATCGAACCCCGGACCATGTGCATAGTAGGCGAGAGTCCTAACCACTGTGCCACCGACGTACACATTCAAAAGTCTGACTTTTTTCAGAGGATTGGTGTTCACTGGCAGTTCCGTGTATGTTGTTGGAGGTATTTCTGGACGAGTTGCACGTGATGTTCGGTTGACGAGTCCCTTGAAGTGGCTAGTCCAATGTCTCCTTTCTTCCCTCCATTTGGTGATTTCGTTACTTTCATTACCTTTCATTGGTATCATCTGTGTTGATCTCTTCCCGGATAGAGACCTAGCTATCTGAAATAATGTTGTCAGGTTTCTTTCGCTTTCGGCTTGTTCTACTCCACTTAACAGCGTTTCGTAGAATTAACTTTTGTCTTTCCTAGCACTGGTCTTCACTTCTTTAATTCAGTGAGATGTACTTTGAACTCAGCTTCTCCTTCTCTTGTTCATCTTTGCACCTTACGCCTCTCTTCCGCTAGCTTCCAGCTGTCCATAGAGAGCCATTCGCTGTCTTACCTCTTCTTCCTTCCTGAGACGGTGGTGCATGTTTCATTTAACATTACCTTCAGAGAGTTCCACTGTTCTTCCACGCCTGATAGTAGATCTTAACAGTAATTATGCATATCTGAAGTTAGATGTCGAATTGACATCATATAGAGGATGAGTGAAAAAGACGGCATGCTTCCACCTAGATAAGAACTCTGCAGTAGTATATACCAGTGACCCCGCCCAACTGTGACCAAACACACGTGCTTCAGACTACGAGGCAGTCCCGTCGACCATAGGGCGATATATGGCGCTACCGCCAGCTAATATCACCAGTAGTTAACTGTCTACACAGCTGACATGATATACACCACTCGTCACGATTTCTCACTACAACTCTAAGCAATCCATTCTGCATTAGAATAGTTCCTGTGTGCTGGTTTGTGGGCACTCGATCCTATCCTCAGTGGGTTACTGGGAGCTGCTGAGGAGTCGCAAACTAGGACAAAGCAATTGTCCAGTACTACCTAGTATTCAATGACTACCCGTTGTGATCGAGTTCTACTCATTTGCTGTTGTCATCCAACTTGACTAGAATGCGTCCCCAAACACGACACTATAACTAACTGGTTATTTGTAGACATTCACCAACTTGAGATGGACACGACATGCTTTTACCATTTTGATTATTATCA